TATTCCACTTATTTTGAATAATTTGTTTTATTATAAAAACTACTGCGTTTCACTTTATTACTTCTACTGTTGTCATCAAAAGCGAAATTTCATTGGAAAGTTATAAAAAATGTGTTCTCTATTAAAATTTACAGGTGACCCTCTTCAAATGGAAAAAAATTATGATCACGTTGCCTGTACAACATTTTTATTATAATTATGAGATCATTTACTGGAAAAAAAGGGTCATATTTTTCTATCAATAATCTATTTTTAAAACCTAATCTAAGTAATCTATTGAAAGTTAAATTACTATATAGAAACACATTTTACCTTTTATTTAGTGGTCAATCTCATTTAATCTTAGCACATACAATATACGTATTCATACGTGGGTACAAGCGAATATCACTACGACACTCTTCGTGTCTCATCACTCAACAGTATTTGCCAAGCAATCATCTCTACTGCAGAAGTGCTGATCGAGCTATGCCACGGAAATCCAAAGCCGTGAGCTTTACTCAGAGTATAGTGGAATCAAGCAACGGAGTGCTATCATAGATAGTTCTATATTTATAAGTATTGTAAGTGTGAGAGCCTTATAGGTAACTTCAATCACCTTGTTATAATCATTCAGAATGCACCAACTACATTAACAATTTCTATTAGAAAATAAGATGATGTCGAATAATATTGTACCATGTCTAGAAAGTGCTAATTTAAGTATTTGTAATTTTTATTTTATTTAATTAAATCTTAATATTTTTAGGGAAATCTGACCATTATTATAGTATCAATAAATAGTGTAAATCATTTAATTTAATTAAAATAGGTATGTACATAAGGGATAACACGTATTATGTATTATTGTATTAAGTACGCTTCTTTGAATTATTTTAAGACTACTAAGAAGTTAGGTTTATATATTTTTCATACATAGGTAGGTTACATACCTATAATCTATCTATATACATAAGAATCTAACTTGATTTTGGAGACGAAGGAAACCGGTTTTGAACCCTCATTATAATAATAATAATTAACTAATTACCAATTATTTTCATTTACCCACCGATAACGATGTCTGTTCTTTTTTTAAATTTTTTTTTAAAATTTTATAATTGTTGCATTATTTGTATAGCCAAAAAATAGTCTTATGTTTTTAAATTAAATTATAAAAAAATAATTTCTTCCGGAGGATGTCGGGCAGCTAGTATTATTATAAGTAGGCACTGTTGTCTTTAGGAATTTTCCAGTTTCTATCCATTTTCAGAAGTATTCCTAATTATATAACATAGCGTGTAAAATATACGATTTATAACTTTACATTACCGTAATATTAATTAAATATAATATATACACAATGTGAATGCGACGTGATCCGTTCAGAATATAATATAAATTATAATATAAAGATATTAATGTTTTTCGAGTAATTTAGTGTTTTTAGCTGAAAACGGTTATAACTCACGGTTCTGTTTACCTACGTAAGGCTAAATATTTGATCAGTTGCGCCGATGCGAATCGATAAAATTTCGGAAAAAATAGGATGCACACGTACCTATTTAATAGAGATACGCTCGATCGTCAACGACGGTTTAAGTATAAACTTATTTCCGATATTTTGTACGCAATTGTCGAGTACTTAAACGTACAAACAATTTTGGTTGGCGCCTCGTCGCGGGTACGATATGCGATTTACACTGATCGTCTTCAGCGGTATGCTGCTCCAGAGTGTTGTCGTCGATCGTTATTCGGCCACGGCGGCGTTCGACCCGGTGCAATTAACTAAAATGGCAAGCATTCTCATGTCCGAACGAGCCCTGAATGATTCGCCCACTTGTACGCTCATGGTAACGAACTATAATCTATATAATATGTACCCACCTGTTATTTATTTACTTGTTTTTTATATTTATCATACGATCGTCGTTGCCCGCGTGATGAAAGTGTTGTGGCACATCACAAAAAAACATTTCTTTTTAACTATTTACACCGTTCGATCATATTATACTCTCGGATTTTTGCTAACACGATGACAGACAACTAACCTATCGCAGTTCAGTACTTAGATAGGTATGTAATATCTATTATTATTTATTCGTCATGTTAAACAATTGTGAGCGGTGAGATTAGTAATTATTATTACATTTTTACTTGCTCAGTTGATCCATGCTCACGAGTCATAACTCAGAAAGTCAGAAGCCTCGATTATTTTTAGTAGTTTTTCCGTATAGTGAAGAATCGCGTACCTAATATTAAAATAATTTATAACATAATAATATATATTTATATTTTACATGTTTATAGTATAGGTATTTTATGATATGATAGATAATACGATTTTTATCCGATATTAATAACCGTGGTTTTATACTCTTATTTACAAGACCATGATAATAACTATTCAAATTCCTAGTACTTATAACTTATAAGCGAATTGTGTTCATTGTATATCTCCGATAAGGGTAGTCCCGCCTACTCAAAGTTGGTACCATCATAATATCTACAAACCTTTCCGTCTATACGTTCGTTTTGCCGCCAGATTTCAATTTCCAATTTTCATTACCGATACTTTTTCCTTTTGTCTTTTTACGGACTGTTTAGGTCCATAGGTCTCCCCAGGTGAGGCCGTGAGGCGATGAAGTGGGAGGTTGCTTATCTGTCAAAGTTCCGACACACAACACATAGGTAATTAACGTTCAGAATAATGCATTTTACTCCGTTTTTTTTTAATATAACATTAGTTTGACCTATTATTGAAATTTGAAAGTTAGAATATTATTAAACCCCACATAGGTTTTTATATTTTAATTCTCAAACAAGTTATGAGCATTTTGAATTGTTATTTTTTTTTTAAATTTTACTCATAAGTTGTTGTAAAATTAAAATACAAAAAAAGCTTACAGGAGCCATAAATAATATTTTCACCTTCAAATTTAATAATATAGTTATAAGTAATTTTACTATAATATTTAAAATACAAAGTGGAATGGATTATTCTGAACCTAAAATTTGTCGACACGGTTAATGATACACGTGGATAGTATAAAAAACATATATTCAAAACATATATTTTATAAAAATAAACAATAATTATATTTTATTCTATAAATCACAATTTAAAACTTTATACTTGAGTATAACCAGTAACTACAATACTACATACTTTCCATATAGTCTGTTTTAATACCTACGGTACACATTGTACTATATTGAAACATGGTAGTATGGTGCCTATAAATAGGCAATAGCTTAAAATTAATCTAAATATTGTTTAAATATCATTCAGTAAGTATGTAAAATAAAATATAATATAAGTAATACGTAAATTAATAATATTATATTAATATACCTACGTACAATTTTCAAGTCCCCACGAATAATTTTTTTTAATTATAACAAAATAAATAAAATCGTTATTCTTCGTTTAAAATATATATATATATATCTATATACAGGGTGTTTCTGAAGTGTGTGAGGTAATTAGTATACGCATACTCACTGTGATGCCACAGTGAAGATTTTTTTGGAATTTTTTTTCTAACTTCAAAATCTGGGTTTTTTAAATTTATTTTGAGAATATTATCTTGAATGTAAAAATAAACACTCTAGTCGTATTTTTTGCAAAATTCTCATACGAATCGAGATATCACATCATTTTTGCGCTTGTCGCGCGTTTTTCGCGCTCGAATCGCCAACTAAAAAAAAAGTCGTGCGACACATCGATTTGTATGAGAATACTGCAAGATAATCAGTGGTGATAATTATTTGTTGTCATTGATAATACACGATTAATTAACACATTGTTTTACATTGTCGACTAATAAAAAATATGAAATAATAACAAAATTAGGGATAACAGAGTTTTAAACGATCAAATTTTACTAGCATACATTTGTGTCATACCTTTATTAAATAACTTTTAACTTTATAAAGTTATAATAGTTAGAGATAAAAAAACTACCTATTTGTGTGTTTATACTGAAATTCCAGTTTTTGGATATCCTAGTACCTAACATAATTACTTTGACTCGATAAGATAAACATTTTATTTTATACTAATGACAACAAATAATTATCACCACTGATTATCTTGCAGTATTCTCATACAAATCGATGTGTCGCACGACTTTTTTTTTAGTTGGCGATTCGAGCGCGAAAAACGCGCGACAAGCGCAAAAATGATGTGATATCTCGATTCGTATGAGAATTTTGCAAAAAATACGACTAGAGTGTTTATTTTTACATTCAAGATAATATTCTCAAAATAAATTTAAAAAACCCAGATTTTGAAGTTAGAAAAAAAATTCCAAAAAAATCTTCATTGTGGCATCACAGTGAGTATGCGTATACTAATTACCTCACACACTTCAGAAACACCCTGTATATATATCTCATTTCATAAATATTTAAACTTCAAACAACTAAAAAAAATATACATACATTTTTTAGATTTTAAGGTTTCATTAATACATTTTTAAATTTAGTTAAACAAATTGAACATTTTATACATTTTTAACTTGGTACAAACATATAGTAATACTAACCAATATACATACATTTATATGTATAGCATTATTATAGCTACTTAAATATTTTACATAAAATCATTCAAAATTTTACCTTAACAATAAAGCGCCATTTTATAACTTTAATTATTTATTTTATCATAATATTATGCTGGTATGCAGCGACGAAGATTTTAATTGTTACATGATACGCGCATTTTATAATGGTTGTTTTGGTCGTTCGGAGGTGGCTAGCCGCATCAAGATCCAAGGCGAATGTATTTATATATTATAATAGGTATTCAAGTACACATAATACGCATATAATATATAAAACAAAATATTATGACGGATAGACGAAGTAAAAATATAGTCATATTAATAATAATAATCAGTGTTAGCGACGGCAGCGTTTAGACACGTGCATTTTTTGGCGCGCAATATTAAACGGCGATTTATAGTGTCCTTGGAGACTCGTAGGTGTGTGATCGCGCCCTGATTATGATCCATTCAATTTTTCGCATATCACCTCCTCTACAGACCCCGCGATCTTTGTCTGCTTATTACGTCGATGTGATTCAATAATACAATACAACAAGTAACAACCGTGACCGCCGAACCGATCAGTCTGCGGCAAGTTGTGAATTCATTATCATCGATGTTATGAGTCATTGCTATTTGAAGTGTCTGAACTAAAATTGAAGAACGCATTTTTATACTTTTCTACAATCCGTCGCGATTTGCGTCACTGTCTGAAACCCATTTTCTCGCATCAGTCTTATATTTATATTTTATACAGATCGAATAATTCTACGAATTATTTAAACCATATACATTGACCTTTCGATTGACTTGCAAATTTCTTGGTAAGTGTCCAAGTTACCAATTGGCTACCCGTTTTGGTAAATTATTTTGAATCGACTGCCGTCATTCGCCGTCACGGTTGAATATCTTCTATGCACATTTTTTATCTTTACACTGTGTATTGAATAGTAGTGTTATTTTTCTTATTAACTTTTGCTTCAATTTTTTCTAGAGTGGATTTGTACCTACAACAATGGGAGAAGCCGGTGAGGAAGTCCAATTATATGTTTACGATTTAACTGGTGGTATGGCCAAATCCCTGGGTCAGTCATTATTGCGTAAGTTGCCACACAATACATAATATACACTGACCCTACTATGTATATAAATGATTTGCAGAAAAAAATATTGAAGGTATTTGGCACACTGCAATAATAGTATTCGGTAAAGAGTATTTTTTTGGCTCCAATGGGATATCAGTATGCGATCCAGTGAGTATTATGTTGTATATGAATTTGATTTCAATATAATTTTATAGTAATTTGTAGGTTCAGGTTAAGTAAAGTATATAAGTTATGCCCACCTAAATTTATTATTTACTGTATTTAGTATATTATTTATATTCACAAACAAGAGCTCATCAGAACTCCAAAAAAATATGTCGCTCTTGACCTGAATTATAAACAATTTGTTTTAATTGATTAAAATAATCTTTCTAAATAGGTATAAGTAATCTTTAATTGGTATGATATTGTAATAGCCAATACCTAGGTTTATTCAACTTAAACTTATGAATTTTTGATAAAAAAAAATTCTTGCTAAGTTATTATAGAATTTAAAATCAACTGTTCACATATCATCAATAATTGTTTAATATTCAGAAATACAATTTGAAATTTGTAGTTAGGACTATTTATTTAATATATGTTCTAAATCACAAAAATGAATTATTAGTAGTTTTGAGCTTAGATGATTTCCAAAATCTATTATAAAAGAGATAAACAATATTGAAGAACATGTAAATTCTATAAAATAATAAAAGTACACTTCCTTATATTAGTTAATTTACTTAAATTTACTGCAAAATATGTATTATCAGAAATGATCTCAATAAAATGTATTGTACAAATTTATACATTATAGGTAATTCAAGCTACCCTAACATTTTAAAGATTATCTTTATTGTTTTTCAACGATATATTTTGATATTAATTAGGTACTTCTAATGTCATCAATCTTTCTGTTTTCTACTTTAAAATTGCAAAATATTTGTTACATTTTAATTACATTTAACAATAATGAAATAACAATGTTGTGTTTGTATATTACAATATTTCGTAGATAAATGCACTTATGTACATTTTATAGTTTTAGTTTTAATGATTCTATTTTATTATGAAAGAGATAATTTACATTTCATACTTAAGTAATGCAATACTCACAGAGCCGTGTTAAGCTATTTGAGGCCTACCCCTAACCTAACCCGTCATACATTTTATTTCTTATAGGTATATTGTCAAATTGTTTTTTTTTATTATTTCTTAATTTATAATTAATATGTGGGTACAGGCTGCAACATTTGACCAAGATGAGGGGCATCAGGTCAAATTCCTCCAATCCCCCCTCTCATTAAGACTACTATAAATAAAATAGGTGTATTATATTAGGTGAATTTAATATTATATTATTTCTACTTATCAAACGTATATTTATTTTGCAACTAAATTGATATAAAATGTTCAACAGACTTTAATGTATTACAAAAGTGTAATTGAAGTTGTAATTGGCAATAACCCAATGATGAAAATATCTAATGTTATTGCCGCTGTTATATAAAACATTTCAGTTTTCTAAATAAAAAAAAACTATAAACTATGTGTGTAATTTTTTTTTATTGTATTTTTATTAAAATAGCCAAAAATAAATAAAAATAGTTTTATTGATATGATTGCAAAATAATTGATTTGTTTCCCTTATTGTCAGGATTTTATGAGCTATGCATCCATTAAATTAGAATGTTAAAAGTTGAATAATTTTCTTAAAAAATAGTCTGTATATATATTATATATTATATAGTGAGTTCAAGGAAACAGGAATTATTTTGTATGTATGCCACTGAATTTGATACATTTTCCTACGTAGAAAGTTATGTAGGAAAATCTTTGAAAAATTAAAATTTTTTAACTGGAGTATAAAAAAAAAATTTTAAGTTTCAACCCCTATTTCAGATTCTGAGTAGAACAATAAAAGCATTGAGTTTGTAAGATATGTGTGTTTTTTTGACAGGGTAATTCACCAAGTGTATGCTCATCTCCTTTTTTTGTCTTCAATAATAGAGCTATTGAATATCTGATTTTTAGAATTTGTAAATATACCAAGGTTCTCTAATATAATATTATAATATCTAATTTTATTTATATTTTTAATTTTTGAAATTGTTTGTGCTAATTAAGGAGTGGCACAAACTTCTGTCCTTCGAATGGCAACCACTATTTCTTAGCGGACAATTTTTCTTAAAATACTGATATACCAATATCAAAATTTGAAGTTATTTGAGTTATTTAATTTTCTGTACAAATGATAAGTTTATGAGCCCACCTTAGTGACCTGTGGGTTTACAAGATATGAACATTTTAGTAATTTATATTAATCTATCAATATTTACAATATGTAAAAATGATCCAAGTATATTAAATACTAGATAAAAAATTATATTTTCATAAAACCATTAGGACTATTGTCCCTAGTATTAACATTTTAATAACTAGTAAATTACTCTTTCAAATTTTAAATTAATCACCTACATCAAAATTTAAATTAAAAATGTACGTTATTAATTTACACTAAAAAAAGTTTAAAATGTTTGTAGTAAAAGTGTATATCAATGTCGCCATAGGGACACTCATTAAGTAGTCCAACAACTCAAGAATTATGAAAAAAATCTTTGAGTTCATTTAAAAATTTATACGATCTCTATTTAAATAAATTAATTGAAAAAATGGCAAAGATGGGTAGAAGCATGCTTGATGGGATATTATGTTTTTGGGCAGGAAATAATTTTTTTTCTTATGAATTTCACATAGTCTATTTTGCGTTTCTACTGTGGCAATCAAATATTAATTAACCGATTTGAATTTGCTATAGCAACCGGTAAACAATAAAATTAATTTACCATATCAACTAAACAAAAAACAGACCATCAAAATCTGGATACAATTTTTGTTTTTTTTTTTGTAACGACTCCCCTAACAATTTATGGATATAATTATGATACCATAGCACCACTTTAATAAAAAAAATTTTACCATAATTTTAGGGGAGAAAACATCAAGTATAGTGTATACTGTATAGCACACTTTTTTGTTTCTATCACCACCAGCGTCACTTGTTAGAACAGTAAAAATGCTTAGATTTACAACTTCAATATCTTTTCTGGTAGGCATTTTTTTTAAATTTAAGGTAAGAAAACTTTTGATGAATTTTGTATTAAATTTTAAATCCCTAGATATATAAGTAGAATAATTTGTATGAATTTCTAACTCAAACTTTTGTAATTTTGTCAAAACTTCAGCTTTGAATTCTACTACAAACATATTGTGGGCTTACGCTCTTTTTAGATTCTGAACGGTGTGATGAATGCATTGATCTTACAATAATGTATAATGTGTTAAAATGTTTGTGTGTTTGTGTGTACACGATGATAATGGTCAAAATAATATGTATTTCGATTTTCAACTCCAGTAACTTTTCTGTTGGGAAAGTGAATCTTGTTGATGCATACGGTTATTACAAATTCACAGTAGTTTTTAAAAGCGTCGAGAAAACCAAAAAAAAAAGTAACGAACAATTTTTTATGTAGAATCAGTTTTCGACAATTTTGGTTTTTGGGGTAACTCTTAAAAAATTAATCTTAGATACATGCAATTTTCACTAATATATAAGCATTTTCTATACACAATACAATAAAACTATTAAAATACTTTGATTTTTTTGAGCTATTTATAGGCCTAAGAAAATTTAGATTTTTTTATTAGTTTTTTTTAAAACTGTATAAAAATTAATTAATTAAGTTCAAAAATGTTCTATGAATATTTCAAATTTGAAAATGTAATACAATATTTCCCATAAGTTGTCTTACATTTAAGAAAAAAAAGGTTAACCTGAAATCAAAACTAATTTTTTATGAATGTTTGAACTAAGTAAGACATTGGATTCTCCCTCAAATTAACAAATTCTCATAAAACGATTTTCTTGTTGGTAAACTAAAAACCTTACATACTGGACCTTTTCACCAAATGTTTATTTTATCATGGTTAGGAAATTTTTTAATTGCTTTTATAACAAATTATAGGGATCTGACCTTGTATTCAATTTTCATTTTGATATTTTAAATATTGACTGTATGAGAGTGTGTTAAAGTTTCATACAAGTTTATCATATGAAATCACAAGAAAATAAGGGAAATTTTTGGTAGACCAATGCTGTAAACATTTCATATATTATGTTCAGTCAGTCAATTCTTCTTCTTCAAAAGCAACTATTGGCTAGCTTTTTAGAAATAAAATAATTTGATTAGAAAAGGGATACAATAAAAAAAAAGTGCTCATGCGTGTGAAAAATGATAAAAATGTAGTGTTATATTAAGTTCTCAAGTGAAAATACATTAATCAATTTCATGGGCTCAAAATTGTTGGTAGTACCCTTATTGATGAACACTTGGTGTAGTGTATATTGAAGGATGATTAGCCAAATGTTTTAAATTCCAATTGTATGTTGTATGGCATTATTTTGAGTGAAATTAATATTTTTAACGTTTAGGCTACAATTATATTGAAGGAAATTAAATGATTTTTTCATGTTTCAAAAAGTTATTATAATCCAAAATATTAAATTGTTTCTACCTAACTATAAAATAAATAAAGTGGTAGTCTCAATTAATATTATGTTTCCCTAATGAATTAGTAGGTATATCATTAAATCAGTGGCACAGTTAATAATAGTAATAATAATAATAATATTTTTTAAAAGAAAGTTTGCAGATAATTATTTAGTGCCTTAGGTTTTCCTTAGTTCGTGTTTTATTTGAAAAATATTTTTTTTTATTATTATTATTTATTTCTATGGATTTTGATTTAAGGAAATGTCTCAATAACAACACAAATTCATAAGTTTTCACAGGTTTATCGAAAATATTTAATCAGCAATGTTGATTTGACTAATAATGTAGAAAAATTAAAATTAAACATTGTTGTGCATTATTCACGAGCGTGATAACATAATACATATATTATAATTATCTTTAGGTATCTATAGTACTTAGCTGAATGCTTCGTGTATGAAAGTCTATCCCACATATCACTATTTTGACACCATTCCAATTCGACTAAGTCCCACTCTGTTCAGTCTAAAAATAGGTACACAGTATTTCTAACACGACGCTGTGGCCAATCGTTGCATACTTTCAGTGGAAATAATATATGCTCCTTCTCGCTTAGTACTTAACGCCGATTCTTTCGATTATTCTAGGGCACCACAGCCTTGGGAAATCCGCTACGTACCCATAGTTTGGGAAAGACGTGTTTGCCGCAAGACGTGTTCCAAGAATATTTGCGTGGTCTAGAACAGGATACATTCTCGTAAGTACATACCCTATATATTACCCACAGTGGAATGATTTCGAACACAATATACCAACATATCATATTATATTAATTTATTATATAGTGGTATTAATAGTATCTATTATTATTTATTGCTAATAATATCTTTTTTTTTGTACCTTTAGCGCAGACAAGTATAATTTATTACGACACAATTGTAATAATTTTTCCAACGAGATTAGTCAGTTTTTATGCGGAAATACAATTCCTAGCTACATTTTAGACTTACCAAACGAAATACTTAACACGTGTGTATTTTTATACCTACCTTATAATTTTTTTCTCAATATCCTCAAGGACCTCACCTTTGCAATAAAATATTTTTTATTTTATTTTAGTCCATTTGGTCAACAACTGGCACCACTTTTAGAGTTATTCTCCAACAATATTGGTATACATCCGGGCGTAACGAGGTCTGCTTCCGATTTTGAATCTCTTAACAACGATATCGATTCTGCCAGGTATGTCGTGTACAGTTTTTATTTAAATGTTGCAATTTAATTTTTAGCTTTTCACTTGTAATAACATCTATCTTAATGATTATATTAACCACTTTAAAACTTATTTTTAGCAATTAACAAAATGGCGTTGTTTGTGATTTGTTGTTTCAGAAACTAATGATATTATCCTTAGATGATATCAGCGATCACTCTCCTTAACACTTCCATCCGCAATTCATGGTCATAATATTAATTCAAGCTGCTCTCTTCAACTAAATAATGTTGCTCTCTATTTGTATTTAGTTTTAAGCTAAATATAAATAAAATACCCTTATTTGTTTGTTATGACTTATCACTTATGAAATTACGAAATTAAATTAGAATATTTTATTTTACCTTTGCATACTTATTTAAAATAGTAAAACATTTTTAAACAATTATATTTTATTTGTTCATGACATAATTTGTAATTCAGATATACATATAAATTTAATACCTGTGTAAATGTGTAATACCTACTTTTGTTAAATACAAATAAAACTTAGTTAAAATTAACAATTTGTTGTAATTTGTAGTGTATATAACTCGTGTTATTTCCGTCATAATACGTCAAATATATTATTTTATAATATGTTTCTTGTATAACAATTTTAAGATGCGTGAACGAATAACTTGGAGCTCATTGTATCTTATGCCGGCAGTTTTTAATTTTTATTCTCTATTTATCCATTGACAGAAAACAATCAGCGTTATTAGAAGAAAAACGCAATAAGCTTAACGAGAAACTAGAAAAAAGAGATAAAAGAAAGAAGAAAAAGAAGAACAAGAACAAAAACTTGAGCGATCAGTTTTGTACGGATTCCGAACCCAGTTCCAGCAGGTAGGTGTTCGTAACTTGTTTTAAATACATTATTATCATTTATTATATTTAATTACAATACGAGTGTGGGATGTAATACATTTATACCCACGGTACCCATTATTTGTAATTTTACGTTTGAAGGTACGGCGATAATCGCAAAAAAATGTCTGAAAACGGGACGAATGGAGTAAATGCTGAGAACGAAGTTCTCCGGCCTGCAGCTGTAGTTGATGACAATGACGCGGAAGACTTGGCAAGGAAGGAGCTTGAGTTACAGCGTAAAGCACGTGACCCGCCTATAGTGTTCCTGGATACCATAAACGTAGGGTTTACATGATCGTAACTGTTAACTGTATAGTTTCAACCGTGATATATTTACCTATTGTATGCATATATTTAATCGAATAATTAATAGGTACAAAATGAATTGGAACGATTAGTTGGTTTGATCGATGGCCGCATAAATCCGGACGACATGCAGTATGTCGCCGAACTCGATCAGTATATGTTGGAGAACGAAGGCTCTTGGGCTCTGGGCGAAGGTTTCCTATCGTTTGTTGGTCAGTGTTCTTGATAGTGTAATAGTAATAGCCATAGAACTATTAATTTAACTTAAGTCAATAGGTCTATGGTCGTGTCTTCAGTAGGGCTAGTAAACCATCCCTACATTTTTTTTGTACAAAATTCAAATAAATAATTGAAAATGAAATTTGACACATTAATACATATAGTAATTATTTAGTTTTATACAAACGATTGTAATATGCATGATTTACAGGTAGATTATTAAACGACAGTCAGCTAGTTTCAGAGGTGCGCGAGACGATATTGAACATTTTGGCCGCTGGTGCACTCAAAGACGATATTATTTTAGTGTTGCACCAAGACAGAAGGGAGCACATACTTATGAATTACGCTAATGGATTTGATAAACTTCCTCTGCTTGAACAGCTAGCTCTCACTTTATTTGTCAGTATATTGCGAGCTCGCATCGTCCAGGTTTCTGAAATTACTCATTGTGGCTGTCTAATACATTTCAGATGTGCAATTTGTTTGAGAATAGCAGCACTTCTGAATGGCTTTTATACATATCTGAATGGCAGTTGGGTTCCAGTTCGGTGAGCAACATACGTGTGACAACTAAGGTGGCGGTGAATTCGTTATTGTCAGAAGACAAGGTTCTGCAAGACCGAGGTACAGCCTTGGTGCACAACTTGGCCTGCAAGGAGGTAAAAACAGTGGTCTGTATTGCTTTTGATGTATATATAACTATGTATAAAATAAAAATAAGACCGTTATTTTATTAGGACGTTACCCCATATTAAATAAGTTGCCAGTGTATATATATATTATGTACCTATATAATATGTTATATTATGTAGTGTTTCGCGTTGACGTGCACTCAGTCGATTCTACTGAATGATGTGTGCACGTTCTTCCCTTGTCTCGTTTAACTGTTTTCAGAAAATGTTAAAAAACCAAAACATTCGAAGACTGTTACCCGTGGGATCGTTTTTTAAGGTAGACATAATATATATATATTCCAATATAAACGTGTACGTGGCATACTGGCATTGTGTAAATGTGCTGAGCGTTCTTCTATACTGTAATAATACATTATATTGTTATAATTGATGTAATCAAATGTATCTCTTTCTTACCTGTAATAAATTACTCAAGTAAACTAGAGTGCTGCAAGTTCACAACTATATATTCCATCATTAATATGACGTTTAAGGCAAATTGTGTACGCAACTTGAATAAATTTGTATTTTATCTATACCTAAGTAGGTACCCTATACGCACAGTTTATTTATCGAGTTTTAAAAATTGTTTAAATCTTTATGCATAATATTTAGATGACTAGACTGTTAAATGTATATAATAAAATAATAAAATAAGCTAATGTTAATATTGAATGCAGACGCAACCAACAAGTTTTACTTGTGTTTATTAATTGTTTACTAACATTTCATTGTGTAATACAAGACGTAACTGTTCAAGAATAAAATATTATAATTTAGAACTGCTTTCAGTGTTATTTACAGACACCCTTTTAGATATGCCTATGATGATATTATGTATGAATGTATGATGGATATACAGTTGTGGCACATTTTGATCTTTGCTACTTGTTGCTTTTAATTATTACTAGTGTTTTTTTTTTTAGTTTAATATAGACCAATATTCTTCATATTTCTCAATAAACTATTTAAAAATAAAACTATTGTAAAAATAATGATAATGTTTGTCTTTACTAGATGGCAGTACAAAAATGATTGTAGTTTAATTTTTTTTCAAGGTGTTCGATGATGTAGTTGTGGAACTTGCTATGGCTGTTTTACAGTATTTCAACAGCAAACCCAATGAAGAGCATAGTTTTAGATGTATGAAGTCCTTGGCCAGATTTTGTCAAATATCTAGGCAAGACGTACCACAGTTGGTACAAATGATTGGGCCTCCACCATCTGCTTTCAAAGGCATATCAAATAGAATTGACGAACAAATTACTGAAATTCAAAATTATCTGCGTTGAGAAAAAAATGTAAATAAATTATACCGATAAAAGCATTTTTTATGATAATTTTTTAACTCTAATATGATATATTTTTATACGGATTGTCAAAATTATTAACTTGATATTTATTAGTCTTATTTTTGTTTTTTTGCATTTCAACATTTAATATATTTTTTAGTTGTTTTGTGTTCTAAAGTAAAATATTTATTTAACTATATTTGAGTTTATTTTGAAGTTTAGACCTAATTATCAATTCAAATACATACATTTATTTATTATTTAAGATTATATATTATATTTTAAAAAATGTACCTTTAGGTACCTCATCATATTATCATAACTATAAGTAATACTTATGAATCAGTTATAATAATATTTATAGATACTCTTGAGAATGTGGTACAATTTTATTGTAAACTTTGTGTTGGAAAGTAGAAAATTAAATGAAAATTAAACTATCTAAATAAAAATGAAATATGTAGCATTGTTGTATAGAAATCTAATAAAAAAAAACAAAAGATAAACATTTAAAATCTTTTTAATATATCTATACTTAAATCAATTATTGACATTATATTAAGAACTAATAAGCTTAATTTTAGATTCTAAGCGGAGTGATAAATATATTGATTTTATGATGATGTTTGTTTTCTTTAAATTTCAAATTCTTGTGTCTGTCATTACTATTTGAAGTCGTAAATTATAAATAAATTATTACCCGGATGAAGTCTGGTAATATAGTTAGTATATTATAAAATCAATGTAGGAATGCGCTTGGGTATAATAGATAAGAACCTATTGACAATGAAATAAAAACAAACAACCGCCTTTAAAATGTATTATTATATTATAATTGATGTGCAATATGAATTTATACATTCCAGAATTTGACATGCAACAGTTTACTTAAGTCCATGACTAAATTGTAATGTTAATATGTCAAATATTAATAATTATTACATTACTTAAAAGTTAAAATAGTGTAAAATGTGTGTACCATAAATTTATATAAGCATTAAGTAAGTTACGTTAATAAACCTCATTGAATATTTAGATGTTTTGTTCTGTAGCTCAAAAGTAGTAAGACTATAATAAATTAGATCTCAACTTTTAATTCATATTGCAAAAATATTGATATGTTTAAATGTATTTAGTTCTATATAAATTATAGTTAAGATAATACAATTATATCTAAATACTAGATTGTATAAATACATTACTTAAATTATAGTTAAGATAACACCATAATATTTAAATACCAGATGGTGCTCAAAACCCTAACAAAATATTATTTTATCCTTCATAAATGGCTGCAGAAAGATTGTCAGAATGTATGACTTATGAGATTAATTTTATATACAACTTGAATAAATTAATCGCTATTCATCCCATGTAGGTTTAAAGTTTAGGTTTATATTTTAATGAGATTACTCAACTAACTTTCTTTTACCTAGATTTTAATAAGAATTTTCTATCAGTGATTTATATATGCAATATGCGTGTTGTGAATGCAAAAAAAATTATTTGATCAAAAAGTAATACAATAATACTTAGTAGTCATTTAGCTTAGAATAAATTTATTAAGTCAACAACTATTATTGAACATTTATTGATTGGCCACTCACAGAAGGAATGATCATATTATAATGGTATCTTGGTATTACAATGAAGACATGATCAAATGTTTACACAACAAACAGTGTTGTAATTTATTTAACTTTCTGTAGAACTTAAGATAACTATAAATTAGCTTCGTTCTACTTGAACGCATTTGAAGCGACTTATCATTAGGATAACATAATGGGTACCTACCATAAATAGTTAAGTGCAAACATAAACCAATCATCATTGAAACTGTAAAATTATTTGTTCATAATACAATGAAAGTTAAATTAATTAGGTATCAAGGTATTCAATTTAATAAGATGGATACTAACGAGAAGAACATATTTTTTCTAGTAAGTTAGTAGGTAGTAGGTACCACCTACCTACCTACATACATTTTTTTGAAACATTCTTAAATAGGTAAAACACTTCATAGATCCTTATTATATAAGTACACCCCATAAAAATTTGCATCAATTCGGATTTATTAGGTCGGTACCTAAATAATTCAAAACTTTTATTAATGAATTCTTATGTTATAGAAAATAGATTCTGAGTCTGAGTGGAGATTGGTTGGTTTCATAAAATGGTATATTATTGTGCAATAGTGTTTTTTTGAGCACTGTTTCTGAGTGCTACCTCTATGAGCAATACTCAAGATTTTAAATTTAATTTAATAGGTACCTACCTATGTTATGTATTTAATATTTTAATCTTGCATTAATATTTTAAGTATCATAACGATTATGTTAGAACTAATTTACAATATAATTTAATTTTAATTATTTATTTATTTATTATTAATTCCATAGTATAGACCTATAAACCAGTTAATTAATCTATGATTAGTTCATTTCTGTAGGATGATTATTGATTAGTCTATAATATTATTATATGATTTACAGGATTTCGGTTTTTTACCACAATTCTTATATCTGACTTGAAGAATAATTATACGATAACAGCTGGTCTTCTAAAATGTCGTTTGGACTATAAGTCGCCGCGGGGATTCCCTCTCCCCACCCTCACTGATGATTTCTGCATAATCTTTTTTTCTATTATAAATACAGAAAAAATGGAGGGAAAGCAGGTTACCACAAACGGCACAGACCGCTGTACGATAGGTGACGAGTGTATCCCATCATTGAGTAAGTCATTGCAATGTATCTATGTACCTATGTGTTAAGACTTAAATTTAAATCCAATGATAAATCATTGCAAACGAAAAACGGTTCTGACTGTGGACCTCAGTGGAGACGGTCTGTAATCTTATATAGATATTACTAAGTAGGTATGTTTTATGATAGATTTATACTGCTAATTGCTATTACGGTACATAATTTGTTTTAGGTAGGTACTATTAAAATTTAAAGTAGTTGATAAGTATGGTATCTAAGTTGAATTAATTTTTGCCGAAAACATTGCACTCGTTGTACGATAATTAACATTTAATTATTATAATATAAGTATACCTACCTATATATTTATTATTTATGTCATTGGTAATATTATTGAAAAAAAAATACTCAATAGGTAATAGGTATCAAAACATGTATCCAAATGTTTAGAAAATGTCATTGTATATACCTAATACCTATTGACTATTAAGTATTTAAGAATAATATAATAGTAGGTATAAATATAGGTATTCTTCTAAAGTTTCAAATTCCCACGAAAAATATTTTTGAGTTACAACATAATAACTACTCATTATTATTCTTTTAAATATCTAATATTTCGTTCAAATTTAGACATCAAATGTTTTTTTAAAAGGATCCAGTTTAGATCATTTTTAGTTCTTTTTTGTTTCCAGTATGATATTAGTAACACATGCGAACTTGTCGTGTACATTTTATAAATGTTAAACTACAAAATTATTTACAATTATTTTTGATTCTGACAAATGTTGTCAACATTAGAATTTTAAATGCTTATGCTAACCAGCAAAAATTTTTTTATCGATATTTATAAAAAAAAAAAAAACAAAAGTTACAAATGTCTACGCAGGTAGGTAATATCTCAGAGTTTTTCTCTGTTATTTTGTTGATTACCTGCTTGAAAATGCTTACGTTTTAACCACTTAAGTACAACATTTTCTACCAGAAACTACCCTTAAAGAATAAAATTCAATAATTTTTACTTTTCTAAAAAATGTTACAAATAAAAAAAATCGCTCAAAATCTTTGTTGGATAATTTTACAACAGTTAATAAAAATCTGTGTCTTAATTATATTAATATATTATGTTATACTATTATGCAAAGTTCTACAACATTATGTCTACTTAAATTAAATGTACCTAACCTACCAGATCATTCTGGATCAGCTATTTTATCATCAATTTATTGGATTTTTTCTTGAAGATTTATTTCAAACCAAAATGAATCAATTTCGTAGCAAGGATTGAAGTATATTTACCTATCTACTTAAAATAATATTTCGCAGTTCTAAAATATTTTTAAGGTACTCATCGACATTGCAAAATAGGGGTGGAGGCTTGGGCTTTGGGAGGACTCCCCCCTCCCCAATAAACTCCCCAATTCCATGCTTATCCCAAAATCAAGTACCCGTCAAATGAGTGCATCAAGTACCCAAAGGTAATTTTTTTTTATAATTTTTATATCAAATAAATTATTATTTAACATTTTGCTTTTGTGATACCTGCGTACGGTTGGTCTTTTAATAGCTGATGTAAATATTGAAGGTAAAATGTGTTGTTGTTTTATCAGTAAAAATATATAAATAAAAATTTGTATTTACAGTTTATCGAATGTAAATAACTATAGTTGGGAGATGAAGAGTTATTTGCTCCATATTTTTTAAAATCAATATCATGGTTGAATTTGGTTCCACCCAAACGGTTTGAGCTATTAGATTCGCATCGAAAAACAAACAGTCTCCAGTCTTAATGTCAATTATCTAAAGCTAAACATTGTAAAGTATTTGAAAATGATGGTAGTGACTGTCGGTGCCTACTACTTATAGCCTTAATAATACATATACTAACTATACACCTATAATAGTGTTAGCTCGTTGGACGCATTAAAGCAATTTTGAGTGTTTTTTTTTTTATGTCGGTAGTCATCAAAAATTTCGAGGTTTTTACAAAAGTTCATATCTTCTATTATACATAATTACAAGTACCTAAGTTATAATGTTATATAATAAAACTAAAAAATAGGTTAACAGTAGGTAACAAAAGCGTGATTTGACGATTATTATTCATAATTGTAAATTAATGACGTCGTACACGTAAAGTATTGGTACTCGAAACTAGATCTTACAATATGTCAATATAATATTATATACATACATATAGGTATGAGTAACAGTATTGAATTATATACTGTATAGGTATAGAAATGACATAGTAATTTATAATCATAAACCCACATAATCACAGTGCTTCGAACGATGATAAAAATGTTATGAACGCGCTTCTGTACATAATATTATATTATAATAAATGATGTTAGTCGAGTATTTCTTTTGTGTTTATTCGATTGTTTTAGTGTGATCTATTGGTATTTTCGATGTGCCTGAAAACAATGGAAGAAAACCATTTGAGATTGACAACAATAGATTATTATTGGGCGATTACCGCCTTACAGTGGCAAATCTCATCTTCGCACTCCACCGTCACCGCTGCACCCGGGTCCGGGTGCCAAGGTCCAGAAATGAGAAAAAATGATCATCAACACACAACAATAAATAATATTACAGATTTATTATCGGTTTGGAAACGCAGATTGTGCTACCGCTGTAAGGACGGAATCGTGCATAAAACAGTGTTTTTTGTTCTCGGTGCCTTCGCCTGGCAATCTGCAGCAGATATTTGTAGTCACGCCACACTGTTGCTTTCGGTTCGGTAAAAACAACAACAAAATATATTTTAACAATCATCGACGCCTTTATCGGTTCGTCCGCACCGCAATCACGGGATTTATGCCACTTGAGTCGGTGGCAACTCTTAGATTAGCTAGACGACGTGTAAATCATGCAAAAAAACGCGTCTTTTCAGTCGATCATTAAACCTATAAGGACGCAACGGATCGCGATTCGTCGTGCGATCGCCCACGACCGTCTTGATAACAGCTGCAGGTGATTCGAAAGTCGACCGACCATCGTTTGTTATTATTACCTATTATCGGTTTTTGTGTAACACCGAAAATGCACGATACGACAAAACGTAAGTCATCCCATCCTCGCTGGCGATATAAATCCATTTTCTCCTATTGATTATAATAATTATAAGCCTACCCAATATAGGTACACATCATTTATAAATTATTTTATTGCACTTGTGCCGATTGCAGCTAACTAAATGTTTATTCAATAAGAATGAGAACGGGGCTGGGATTTATCTATAAAATATAAGTACAATAAATAAATATATACCTATTTCTGCTACCTTGACGAAATTGTATTATTAATCTTTATATTTTTATACAAAAGTTTTCCTAGAACACCATTTTACTTTATTCCTGGTCCTACAACGAGATCTAATTTTTACACAGTATAAGCTATTTGATTTAGGATATAATAAATAACAATATAATATTTTTTTAATTTTAGGAATCATCTAAATATAAAATAAATAAAACATATCAAGAGATTTATAGCTTTACGGTTTTTTGTCTAGAGCAATGTACTTATATCCCTTAATATAAATAATTATATACTAATAATATAAATAAGTTTGAATTTTTTTTTTTATATTCCAATTTTTTTCATATTTTATGACCAATATTGGTCATAAACTAGCTAAACTTTATTTTTCTGTAACTTCAAAAAAAATAATTGAATTTTTATCTTTATTGATTTTCATTGATCGAGCCTTATACATAATTGTTTAAATATTTACCAAATCCCAATAAACTTAGTGTTTTTTAATTAACCTCAGTGCCAATTACACAAATTATACAACATTTCCAAAATTCTTTATCATTTGAAAATTATATTTTATATTTTAATTGCCACTTTAACTATAATACTTTACCCACTAATGTACAGCTCGATACTTATTTCAGGGGGTGGTAGGGTAGGACCAACTCCTTAATTTTTTTTTGTCAACAGTCACAAAAAGATTATCAATACAAATAATATTTTGGTATTTTTATATGTTTGTGATTCGATTGTACCTATTGTGTTATTTTAGATTTTGAACAGTAAAATATATTTACATCGTTCTATTTTTATGGTTTTTATTTTGATGTATTCATAAACTTTTATGTTTTTAAGTTCTGAAGAATCCTATCCCTATTGTCTGGCGATACTGTGATAGTAACCACCACTGTTTCTTAAATGCACAGTACAGTATTTGTTGCATAAATGTCCATACGATATGTACATAATGTATTATATTTGCCTATATATGGTCGCGGCTGATTAATTCAAATTGCTGTAATTCTTTTTGGTAGATTATGATATGTTTACGCCCAAAACTAAATTTAATGATTAAAAATTACTGTTTGTTTTTTCGATGTAGACATTTAAAAAAATACGCTCGTTATATGTTGGTATGTACCTTCAATTTGCCTGAAATGTGGTTTCCCTCTATTTTAATATAATTTTAATAATATTTGCAATACTTAAATAAATATTGTGAAATATACGAGTAACTAAAAAATAAGCTGACAATATAATATCATGTTATCTAAAATTATTCCCGTTGATTCTTTTTTTAGTAATGACTATTTTTAATAGCCACTATACATTATTACAATATTACCACTTTATTATGCATTTGAACAGTGCTTCGAATGTTAAACAAACGTTAACTATCCTACTTTTCTAAAACTGTCATTATATTATAGGGTTTTATGTTAACAACTTGTAGGCACTTATTTGTATATTATTTATAACTTTAATTTCGTAATTAATCAATTACTCCAAAATTATTATGTTTGAAGTCTATTGGAGATGTTTTATTCGTAGTATTTTCTGGACACTCATACTCGTTGTTTATAATAATATCACAAAATAAAACTTATCAAATGTTATTCGTGTAAGTACACATAAATACTTAACTATATCATTTGAATTTTCAATACCTACACAAATGATAACGATCAATTCAGATGACGAACTATTGGAAATCTTGAAAGGTTCTAGTTTGTATTTAATACATTTTTCAAATAGCAAATAATTTATAGTTAATTTATACGAATAACTAAAAATGTGTACGTATAATAATGTAGGAATATGCAAAAGCGTATTTTTTCGGGGTTAAGTGCCCCCTCTTTACGGGACCAGGTAAAAAATGGGGGGGGGCGGAAAACTGTTATGACAATGTTTTTTTAGTTTAGTCAAACTATAATTTATAATATATTATATATATCATTTATGTAGTCCTCTTTAGATTGAAAAAAAATTTAATATGCATTATTGGGTATTCTCTCAAACAGATTTTTATAAGAACAATTTCTAGGAAAACGGATTATGGAATTATGCAGTCCGCAGCTGTTGGTGTACTTGTTAGTAGTTATTATTGTAGTATTGTTAAACTATAAATTCTAATGCAATACAATCATAAATCATAATACTTATTGGGTATTATGTTAGTGCAATACAATTTATTCTGAGCTTTTTATTTTGTGTAGTTTATTGTTATTTTGTATAGATTTATTTAAACTCTGATTTTTGGAATTTTTCAATACATACTTATTAAAGTGTTCTGAGGTCAAATATCTGCTGGTGTTGCTAGTTTTTGGACGGGTGACCCCTGGAGGTTTTAGTGACGAATCCTCGGCCCACATACACGTGTCCCACAACCAACCATAACCCCTCCAAAAAAAAAAAAAATGCATATGACTATATAGTTGGTCGATGCTTAAGATGAATAATAAATAAAAAGTTATACATTATGTTATCAAAATTCATTTTTTGTGTAGGTTTAATTATATTTAAAGTAAAATGTCACCTATTTACAGCGAACTCAAACGATCATGTCAAGAAAAAACAAACGCAGAGGTCTGTCAAAAACGAAAAAATCTACGAGTTCTTTCACCAACATGTACCGATCACCAAGTGGCTTCCAAAATACACCAGTGAAAATGCGATGGGTGATATGATAGCAGGTGTCACGATTGGACTCACGATGATACCTCAAAGCATTGCATATGCGTCGCTGGCTAATTTATCACCGCAGGTAATATTTTTTAAAGTACTTTATGAACACTGATAAGACAAAACGTTTATTTTTCTAAATTCGATATTTATCTTCTCTTGTAGTTTTCTTATGTTTTTTCTTAATTTAGATTATTCAAACCGATTTTTTTGATTAAGAGTTAAAAATAAAGCCTAATATAATATGACATGTCCGTGTGCAATTATAGTTTTGAATTTTGTCCATATACTCTGGTTGAGTAGTTTGGCTAAATTATCGATGTGCATATGTGAATATTCAGTTCTGTGTAATTGTTGAATTAGGTATATTAAAATAAAACATGGATCTTATACTTCTTACATATATCATATAAATATATCGTATTGTTCGAGTAGAGGTAATGATGTTTACTTAAATCTATAATATACCATGTATCCTACCACTGGTAACGTTGGCAGCTGTAATTAACTATATTTTTTATATTATATTTGACTCTGTCCATAGAATGTATATAAAATGAGATTATATTGTATATACTATTATGGTTTTATATTTTAATACATTGCAATATAGTCTGTCTCTATTTCTAAGGATATTTCATTATATATTTATATTGCTAATTTTATTTATAATAATTAATTATAATAATATTAATAACTTATTTCCCTATTAATTATAAGCAGTAGATTGATATAAGTTCAGCAAACATTTTATGAAATAAATTATATTGTTGTTGTTAACTTATAGTTAACACTGGCATGCAGTCAACGTATAGGTACTGAAGAACAATGTCATAGCTTTATGATGGTATTACTTAATGGCTTATAATGAGTCTATATATTTTGAAAATTTTTCTGTGTATAGAAAATAATAACAGTATACTATACAGTGTATATTTATAACCTACGTAATGGTGAAAAATTTAGATTATTACACTTAATATTTTTCAAATTACGACGAAATAGCTAAAATCTTAATTTATCATTTGAATATTCTTGGATATTCGACATTACTTCAGAGGGCTACAAACTCGATTTTTAAATGGTTTTACTACAGATATTTTAAGTAGAAAAATTAAAATACTTATTTAAAGTAATTTAAAAATATACGAGTGTTATTATACCTAGTCCCTACCATTGTTGGTTGTTATATATATTAGTTAGGTTGTTTAGTTGGTTATATATAGAAAAACTATTTCACTTGAAAAATAACCAATTAATGTCTTAACTTACAGTCATAGTTAAGAACCAAATTTATATACAATAAAGAAGACAGTGCCTATTATCTGTGTCATCGATTTTTTAATTTTTTGATAACATTATAGTAAAAAGGTTATAATTTTTAAATGTTTTAACTTTTCCGTCCAATTGCCCTAATTCTTTAAGTCCTAACATACGGTATAGGGAACCCATTATTTCCCTTTACTAAAATAAAATTCAATGTTTAAATAATATTATGGGACAAAAATTTAAAAAAAATGGATGAATAAATCACTGTAGAGTATTTTACCTATAAGCTATAATATAACACTCAAACTCAATTAATTTATTTTTGACATTACAACAATTTTAATATGAGTGCAACTTATGCAATGTAAATGAACTACAATAATAATAGGAATCAGTATTAATTCGAAAAATAATCTTTAGCACCGAATTAATCCCGAGGTAAGTGGAAATATAGTTTTATGCTTCTTTGTTGGCTGTTGCACATTATTTCGTTGCTCAAGGATTATATTTTTTCCCTCAGTGTGATGGGAATTAAAAATACATGTATGTATATTGCATAGGTATATAACATACTGAATGCGTATTTATTGTTGTCACTGTTCAATGTTTTCCGGATGCATAAATAATTATTACGAGGAAATATAATAATTACGTACCGTAATTAAAACGATACCCATTACCGATTACTTAGAAGTTATGAAATGCTTGGGTATAGGCTCTATGTAGGCGATTTAATGAATATATGTATCAAATTGTCGAACATGCTACGTATAATAGTAATCTAATATAATGTAGTCATATACTGTTATACAGGATTATAATTAATATTATACATGTAGTCAAGTAGAAATAATATACACATTACATTTATTAGGATTAGTAAATTAAGTCCTCTATATATGTACAAATGACTAAGTATAATATTATAAAGTTAAGACATTAACAGGCTGGTTAGATAATGTTAGCTAAAGAAATAATAAATGCAATTTTGAACTGGTTCTAGTTTTAAAGATATTATATTGTATTAATATAATAATATATGAATTAGCTTTATGGTTTGTACTATTAATGATCATTAATTACACAATAATTGCAGACTGCAGTTATTACAATATTATTATTTTGATAAAAGTTTAATGTTTTTATTAAGTACCTAGGTTAAAAAAATAATAACAATAGGTACTCAATAAAACTAAACAGAAACAATTCTAGCTCTGCGAAACAATGCATTATATAGCTACTTATAATTTATATATAATATGTAATATGTCTGTAATAAAAACTAAAAATACCATCGTAGTGTACGCCTCTACAAAATTCTCCGTAACTCTACAAAGACACTATGAGTTATTTTTTTACTGCATTTAGGTTGGGTTGTATTCAGCACTGATGGGAGGGATCATATACATGACTTTTGGGACAGTTAAGCAAGTTTCCATTGGACCTACGTCTCTCATGTCCTTACTAACTTACGAGTACACAAAAAATTTGACTCCGGAATATGTGGTGCTATTGACTTTCATGTGTGGAATCGTTGAAATATCGATGGGATTATTTAAACTTGGTAAGTCATTAGAAATTTAATCAAAATAAAATATGGCAGTACCTTATACGGGAGGGAAATTGTATATAGATTACCAGACTTTACAGTTAAACGCACTGTGAGCATTCGTCCCGCCTAACAAAAAAATAAGAATAAAAAACATTTCAAAATAATTTTATTTTCATTTAGATACCACTTAAAAATGATATCAAGTTTACTTAATACCGAAATTAATTTACAGGATTCTTGGTCGACTTTATCTCCACTCCAGTGACATCGGGATTTACAACCGCTACTTCCATTATTGTGATCATGTCACAAGTGAAAGGTATTTTGGGAGTGAGGTTCAAAGGCGATACAGTTAAAGACATATTGGAGAAACTGATAGAGCACTTCCACGAAAGGAGAAGCGGTGACATGATTTTAGGACTGAGCGCCATTGCATTAATTCTATTTATGAGGGTGCGTTTTGAATCATAGTTTATATTTATTTTTCAAATAACTTCAAATATAATATACATACAATGTCAAATTATATAGCTGATTATTGATTAATCCATTAATGGTTATTATTGAATACACTTAAAAGAAAATATGCATACAGTTAATACCATCATTATGAAATAAAAACCTGCTTTAAAGTTCAAATATTGTCGTCATAAACGCATGAACTCACGGCATTACCCACCAGAGTAATACTTCAAATTAATATGTTTACTTTAGCTTAAGAGTTTTTAATCTGCATAAAATGTTCCTTTAAATAGTAACAGACTCTTAATTCTTTGGGTTATGAAATTAATTTATAGGTTGTATAAAAACAAATCGAATAAACAAAAAGTGAGCCGACGTGGCGCCTGGTAGATGTGAAGCATCGAATTATTTTGTATAGAATGTATGCATGAAAATTGAAAGGGTGGTTTATTAAAGGAAATAAACGTGGCGTCATAATCAAAAAAAAATATTCCGATTTTTTTAACAAAAATTATTCTTTACTTCAAAGGTGCATTAGATGTTTCACATCGAAAAATCAAATGTACTTAAACTCAACAAAATTATAAACTTATTATTATTGACTGCATTCATTCAGATTGATTCCCATACCTAAATTCTAAAAATTAGATAATTCCAGATGTTTTATGCTGCATACATCCAAATTGTTCCCACTAGAATTTTGCAAATACATTTCAAATATCAAACAGTCACAAATTTACAATTGTTGATTTTTGTAAAAAAAAAAAAAATGTAGTGCTATAATTAAATTATTATTTAGGTCATCTCATACAAAATACAATATCCATAATTTAAGGGCATACAATTACACAAATTATAAAAACTGATATGAACATTTTTTCAAACCAAATGTCTACTAAATATTTTTTGAATAAAACGGAAACAAATATAGTAAATAGTAATTGCTTTTAAAATCTAGGAATTAATTTGGATGTACCCTTAACCCTCCGTAACAATAACCCGGGAGCCAATCCAGATATTGTAATATTATCATATTATTAAATGCACGTAATAAAAATTTACTGATATAATCAGTTTGGTCATTATTATAATATATTTACAAATGGTTTCTTTTCTAGGAATTACGTAATGTACCGGTCAAAGGGAATTTGAAAAAAGTCTTGTGGTTCATTTCCTTGAGTCGGAACACATCCGTCGTCTTACTCTCAATGTTTATCACATATTTATTCGAATCCAGCGGATCTCCAATGCCGTATTTAACCTCAGGCAAGTATTGATTGGTAAATTTTAATATTTCTAGCGAAAGCACATATATATATATATATATTCATTATTCAGTATAAAATGTCTATCGTTAACGAATCAAACATGTATTATTTATTTCACATATTATTAATTACGTATACGATATGACGATATTGTTTGGTTAGCCAGCTTTTCTGTGTATTGTGTTATTGTTTTACGCGTTTCTACTTTCTAGTATTATGAAATAACAATAATCGGTTTGTTATAATTATTCAACAGAGACTGCTAAAACTGGATTGCCGTCACTACGGTTTCCGCCCTTTGGATACACGTCAGGGAACACGACCGTCACGCTGCCCGAGATGTTGTACGAGATCCGGTCTGCCATATTCATCATACCACTTGTATCGGTGCTGGCCAACGTGTCCATTGCTAAAACTTATGGTAAACTTCATGTCATGTGATTATTATTATTATTATTATTATTATTAATCATCGAGACTGTCAACTAGATGGTGAGAGGGGGGTCGGGGAGAAATGGAGGAAATGAACGGATAAGTATTGTTGTTAGACTATTTCAGGTCATCGATAATAATAATATTTTGTGTACATTACATACTTAATCAACATTCCCGGTCAAAAATCAGTATATATATATATTACCTAAATAGTAAATGACTAAATGTACCTATAGCCTATAGGTTATTAGGTAATATAAATTTTCGTTTCGACTGCAGCAGATCATTATTGTTATTGTACGGTCTACTTATAATTTGTATTGTGTTTCATGCGTTCGAGCTTCGTTGCTATCTTTTATCAGAAGTCTTATTATAAATCGATATATCGTGTCAGTGACTGCTGCAGACATTATGGCCTTGTTTTTATATCCTGAGAAAAGTTTCACGAATACCCGCGAGTGAAACGTTTACCAGATTCGATCTTCGTATTATTTTATTCTAGGCATTAAATTATTCGAAAAAAGAGACACTAGGTAACGGTCGAAAATAGACGAATATATTGGTAAAAAATCCCTGTAAAGTGTAAACATTGCGCAATGTCTTAAGAACTCATATTTATCCTTATTCTAATGAACTATCACCGGAAATGTTAGACCCTAGATTTTAACTATTGTCTTCCTGTTATGAACATAGGTACTATACGCTGCCCGACGCTATATAATATAGCTTACAAAAGAGAATAAAATATTATTTGATGGTATAAAATAATATATTACACAGGCATACAATAGTATCTAACTTTCATTTCGTATTTTAAATTATTATTATTTGATTATTGTGTTATCCCTATAATTTTAATAATTATCCACCAAAATCAAAAAGTTTTGTACTGTGCTTTAGCTAACGGAGGTGTAGTAGAGGCGACACAGGAGATGTTGGCTTTGGGATTGTGCAACATAGCAGGGTCGTTCATTCTGTCGATGCCCACCTGCGGTGCGTTCACTCGAAGCGCCCTCGTCCAAGCTAGTGGTGTTCAAACGACGTTGTCCAATATATACGCCAGCGGTTTAATATTTCTGGCCATCATGTTCCTCACGCCTCATTTTCATCTCATCCCTAGGGCGGTACTGTCCTCGATTTTGATCAGCGCCGTATTGTTCATGGTAGACTATCAGATAGTCAAACCTCTATGGAAGACCAACCGTGAGTTGATTATTTATTTTAAAATATGAAATATGAATTGAAAATATTATGTTATACACCATGTAATCGATGAGTTCTAATTTGTGTGCACGAAAATAAAAATGTCTTCGTCCTACACTCTTTTTAGTTGTTACACAAAATTATAGATCTTTATCATTTAAAAAACGTAAGCTTACAAAATTATATCATTTTTAAACATTTTGTAACAACATACATTTATTTTATTTTTATATTACAGGGGCACCGTGGTAAAAATGTATTAATCAATCGTTTTGTACAATTTTTTTTTAGGAGTGGAGCTTTTCGTTACATTGATCACACTTTTGATAAGCCTTTTCTTTACCGTTGAAATTGGTTTACTTGTAGGCATATGTGCAAATATTATTCATTTAGCTCTAATGTGGTCCAGACCTAAACTAAAAATCGAATTAATCAAAGTGAGAGACTATTCATTTTATAAATATAATATGGTAAATATATATGTATTTTATATTTAAACGCTTTTAATAATAGTCCAAAGGAGTGGAGTTCGTATTGATAACGCCAAACAACGGACTGTATTTCCCCGCGATAGATTATTTGTATAGGGAAATCATGCGAATCCCAAAACAAGAAGGCTACTCAAAAATACCATTGGTCATAAACTGCGCTCACTTAAAGGGACTGGACTACACTGCCGCCAAGGGACTGAGCCTGATATCTTCAGAGATCCAGGCCAACGACCAACGTTTTATCGTCCTGAGCTCGTCGGAAAAAATGCGATACGTGTTTCGGAAGTCTGGCTGCAAGTCGATGATGTTCTGTAACTCGCTCGACGCACTACCCGCCACAATTCTAGGTATTGTATAAATGGTGTTCAGAAAAATTATTTTTCTCGTCAAAATTAAATCATTGTAAGTTGTAACAATCATCAAATTTGTTCGTTAAAAATGTAAAGTAAAAACATTTGGATAAATTATGATGATATCATCATTTTTTAAAGAAAATTGCTCTTCAACGATTTAATTACAAAAAATTGCAGCTAAAAATGATGTCAACATACCTATACTATAAGGACCAATGAGACTATAATCTATATTCATCGCAAAGCAAGATGAAACAAAAACAATTCTTAAATTACATTTTGCGTACAGCTTAAGATAAAACAGGATTTTTTGTCGTACCTATATAATGTATTATTTATTATTTTAATTATGAATAATTAAAAATTGTATAACGCTCTGCTGCATATTAGGCGTCTAGAAAGTCACTGCAATAGTTGTGTTAAATTCTGATTCAATGATATAAAATATTAAAATCATTGTATACGAAAAACGATTGTGAGCGAAGACAATTTGTCAGCCTTTATGATATTACTAAGTATATTATATGATGTTATTGTGATTAAAGTAATTTATTTTACTATTAGGCATTACTGCATTAGTACTACAGTAGGTTTAATTCATTTTTGACGAAAAAATTGCATTTAAAAATGTCATTGTGTGTATAAAATGTAATAATATACTCTACAAATTTCAAGTAGGTACCCTCTAACTCATAAAAAAATATTGTGGATTTAAGCTTTATTTTTTATTTCCACCAACCACAAATTATGAGACACCTTGTATTAAATCGTCAAGTTTTATATCATATAAATTGTCATCTAAAGACATAATCTACGTTTGTTGTTCTGTCTATTAGGCGAACACTGCAAAGAAAAATGTGCACTGAACAACTCATCGGTGAGCCGTAACGATACTGTGGTCGTGGACGTTCCGATCATGCTGGCTGAGGGGACTCCGCTGTTGAACGTCAAGACCCAAAACGGTAACGACACCAGAGTTGACCTTTAGCAGTGATTTAAAGTGGCTAGGTTAGTATAACTATATCCGGTCTAGGTTAGTAACTCGAAATTCGAACTGCTTCCCATTTGATACTATTGAATTGTTTTCACTATTTTTTTTTTTTGTAGGTCACTCGAATTGCCTCCCATTTTAGGTAGTTGCCTGTATCTCATTTAGAAGAATACATTCTGATAGATGAGTTAATCTTATTATAGTTTGAAGTTTGAAAATTAGTTGGTTGAATCTCAAACATTGGGTTTTTTAAGACACTAAAAACATTAACACATGACGGTTAAATGTTAATCAAAAAAAATTTAAGTGCATCCTTACATTAAATGAAAAATTAATAAGTAAGTCAATAATATATATGTGTGATGATATAATAATAATAATTCAATAGGCCTATGTTGGCTAATAATAAGCAAACGTTTGTATGAATGTAACAATAATGAATAAATAGGCCTATAGGCTATAGCTGAAATCAATATCACGGGATATACCTATAATCATTAATCAGTTATAAAAATTAATATTTTAATGAAAATAAATTAATACTGCAATAATATCTGGTAATAAAGCTGATTATAATAGTAGATAATTATGCCTATGCCGATTAATACTAGGTACAATAAATAATAAAATGTATTATAAAATATTTTTGAAGAATACGAAAATCGATAAAAATATGTCATGGTTATAGTAATCAGGTATACCTATGATATGGAATGTAATTTGAGTAAAAAGGTCACTTACTAAATTTGGGAGGTAATTCGTGTGCTACTCTGTGTCCTTTACATCTATTATTATTAATTATTATTATTTTAATTTATATATTTTATGTAAAGTATTTAGTTAATAGTAATATTTATTTAGTACAATATGAATTATGACGATCATTTTATTGTATACCGTTCAACTGTACATACATTACTTGTAAATAAAAATGTGATTAATATGTTATAATATGTTATGTGTAACGGATTTGTCGTAATTTTATTTCGCTTCGGCGGTTATTGTTATTATTTACCTATTACTGACATATTTCTTTGTTCCATTTCTGTGACTACTGCCGTGAAAAATGTTTTCGCATAGACTTTTTTGTATTGAATTATAATAAAATAATAAATAATATACAGTATATATATGGATATATTTATATACCAACCCTTGAAGTTGTCGGAAATATTTGAAATTAAATAATTACAAAAAAGTAAAACAACTTTACAACCGTTGAACCGCTCAATCGTTTGTTCTTTACTTATGGTCATCACTCTATACTTATTTAGTCATTAGATACCTACTCATTACTCATTATTTTTTATTAATGTTTGTAGTATTAAGAACCTTTTTATACTTTCATTTACATTTAGTTAAGTTGCAGTTACAACCACTAGCATTTGTTTTTTAACCAAAATCTATACTACAACATCAAACAATTCAATTTTGAGTTTACTTAAAATTATTTCTATTAATATGTTTCACTGCGAGCCGATTGTGTGTGCGGTATACATGTTTATTACTCATCTCTCCATAAAAGAATAAAAACACTACGTTTTCCTCCTTAAAACAAGACAAATTAGAAAAAACTTTTTTTTTTTAATATATCCTACAATTTATGCGATCTGTTATAGTAAGAACAATAAACCCAGTTGATGTCTACATGCAGTATGCATGTAAAAAACAAGACATGAGAAGATGACATATCAAAGAAACTTCTCAGTAGGAAAAATTAGAAAACAATTATTAACCATATAACACAAATTTAGTTACGTCATTGTCGCCTTTGTTATTTCCTATATCAAAAGCTGGCCATGTGTTTTTCTGACATTTAAATTACAAATAAAAAATGTATTAACTGTTTGTGAGTTTGTGATGCATCCTTTATGACCGGGTACGCTTAAGTTGCAAAAAATACTTGAATAACTAGGTAGTATTATAATTTATAGGTTTAACTCATATATACTCGTATGAGCAGCAGGTAAAGTGTAGTGGACTATAGTTAATTGTACTGGACACCTACTTTAGATTCAATCATACAACGATAATGTATTGCAATTTATAAGATGGAAAAAAATTGATTGAATCAGAGTTATTGACGTTTAATAAACGAAATAGGTAACTAACTATAATAATGAATTCCATGTAAACATTGAACGATTATATCGAGTGTTCGCAGTGAAACTTATAGACTATAGTTATTACTTATTATACGTATATATTATGTATGTCCAGTTTTAATTTTATGACTATGACTTGAGGTTGGGATATTCACCATTGTTTAAAACCTATTATATCTATAATCTATATTAAGAATAATATATAACGAACAATGATAAACATACAACTGCAGTTGCGACGAGACGTTTATTTTTAATTTATTGGTCGGCAAAAAGTATAAACCATGTACGGAATCGTGGTTGTCGATCATCGCGATAATTCAGAAGAATTTCCTTTCGATCGAACGATTATTATTGTGTATAATAATGTATGTTATATAATAATCGTTCAGCGTAGCTTTTGCACGTGGACTTCTGAATTCGAGCAAAGCGAGTAGCGACACTGCCGCTGTACACATAAGAGACCATTTTGTAACAATATTCTTAAAAACGTATTTCGAAAACTGCCATGCACTATGCTGTAAGCGTTTATATGGAAGTCGATGGCTTAAACATTGAAATGACTTCGGAAGAAAAAATGTTACGTGGTTGATGTGTATAGTTATTAATTGCATGTATCATAAATCATAGTACGATTAGTACGAGTACATATAGGTAGGGAAATAATTCTAATTTCTAGGTATAGGTACGCGTTAAGTGGAGTTATGAGCTATTTTTACTGATGGAGTGAAGATTTTGATTTGAACATACCAACCACCCATTTTATTGAAATATACCTATCAACCCAATCCGCTCGCTTCGTTAGCACTGTGTCCTTTACAAAATGTATTGTAGATATTTTTATTTATACTTCCCTCCCCAATCCCTTCATCAGCTATTTTTTATACTGCATTCAAGATTTAAATCTTTTTGGGGTTAAACACATACATTTTGTTTGGTGGCAAAATACGGTAATGTTTCGCATCTCCGATTCTGATGAAATCGATTTAGTTTTTTTTGTTGTAATTCAGAAAGGAATTCAGTAATTTTCACCAAACTTGTATACTTCCATTTTCAATACATGACATAGATTTTTAAATATTTAGATCAATTAAGATATTTATTTATTTTAGGTTTTGACGCAAGAGTAGTATGTATTTGTATGTTCACAGTTCGTTTTTCCACGGTAATTTTTTTTGTTCAAGGCGGAATGTCACCCTCAGACGATTCAGAATTACCGTATCACACAATACGGTAATTTCACACACAGTGTCCACCTATTTACCCCTCACACGAAAATATTTACCGTGTACACTAGTTTAGGTTTTAAAATATTTTTTTTACCTTACTAAATTAATATTTCAATTAAAAACGCAAATTATGAAATTCATTTTTATTTTATTGTTATAAATTAAATTAAATCTTTTGAAACTTTTGAATATGCTGAACTCGGAACTACCAAGAAAGTTGTATGGAACTTGAAAACTGCTTTAAAATTAGAAACGTTAAAGTATTTCTAAACTCGATAGCTTATCCGTATGACAATTTAAATTTAGATTTTGCAAAAAATAATTTTACCTTATTATATGATATTTAATATGTATACATCTTTTCAAGAATCGTACTAAGAAAAAAATATACGAAACCCGATATTGAGTCCTTCAACTTCTCTATCGAACTCTCCAATTATAGTTATCGATACCTCAAAACAGAATGATTCAGCTACAGCCTCGGCAGTGGATGTTCAATTAGAAATTGAAGCTTCGGAATCCTTTACAGGTGTAACTGCTTATTGTTTATTAATTCATGATCGTATTGTAGAATATGTACCTTTTACTAGAAAAGTAAGAAAACTTGTGTAAATATAATTTTGTTTTAATTTATAACAATAAAAAAAAAATTAATTTCATAATTTGTGTTTTTAATTGAAATATTAATTTAGTAATGTAGAAAAAAATTTTAAAACCTAACCTAGTGTACACGGTAAATATTTTCGTATGAGGGGTAAATAGGTGGACACTGAGTGTGAAATTACCGTATTGTGTGATACGGTAATTCTGAATCGTCTGAGGCGGACATTCCCCCTTGAGCAAAAAAAATTACCGTAGAAAAACGAACTGTGAACATACAAATACATACTACTCTCAAGATTATAAAGTTGTACGCTGTGTATTTGTCAAACATCAGTTCTACACACTGAATTAATAAAATACTTTGAATAATATAAATATTATTGAACATAAGCTACCTATCCTTAAAATACATGCTGATCCATCCGTCTCATTCACTCAGAATCGTTTATCGTATACGTACAAGAATTTATCATTGAATTCAAATTTAGTATTCCCATTACAATGAATACACAACAGAACGGGTTCCCAGGTTTTTTAAAAATTGTATTTATATATTTTATTATATTGTATCATATTATTCAATTATTGTAATATATAGGTAAATATTATATCAATGGTGCATATTTAAAATGTTGTAAGTGCATGTTTTAAAATGTTATTTTTTGCATTAAATCCCGAGTTCCGCTATTGTATGTATACATTATAATTAGTTACTATTATAAAAAGTATACAATTTTAACAGTTTTATTACAACTCTGCACCACAAGCAGGATTTACGGAACCGTTCAATCGGTGTACTGCACGAAGTATGATTTTTGAAATAAGAACCATTGCGTTTTTAGTTCACCTCGAGCCCAACATTTTTGACAGTTATAGTTTACGCATAGCCGCATAGGTTTCAATAAGAACTCGAATCATGATTAAAAAAAAAAATTGCAGTGCGTGTTACTGCTATAACACAATAATCATTACTATATACATTTGTACTTATAACTATCCTACAGACTGTAGTATAAAATATGGGTAGGTTTTTAGTGTATTATATGCACTATAACTGCAGCTATAGTATTTTTTAATATGAGCGCGGAAACTATGATGAAATTATATGAACTCGCTATTATTATTACTATTATATTTCATTATAATTACAAAATCGTAATCGACGAGATAAAAATTGCGTTCTTCTCACGCCTATTTGTATAGTATATATAATATAAATATATTCATCTGAGGGAAAATGAGTGTAAATATTATGATATTATGATGTGAGATCATAATTTTTTCTCGGATCAAAAAAAATTACTCGGAATCATGACATACCGTGTGTGCGTTGTACACGCTATGATGTTGTATCAATCAGGAAAACGGATGGAACAATTAATCAATATTGTCTCGCCGAGATCACCGGTGGTAGGGCACGTCCCCGAGGACGTCAGCTCTGGACTTATGGTCGTTTTGAAAAATCGACGCGTATAAAAGATGTGGGCAAACGGCCGACACGATTGAGTTTGAGTTCCACGGGGTTGCCGATCGATCATCGTTACTCATATAACAGACGCAAAGTGCCGATTTGATTGTATTTACGCGTTGTATACGATATTACTTTAAACAAAATAACGATAAACATATAGCGATGTACACAACGAAAATGATGCGTCTTTCGTCTGCCGTGAGTTTATATTTATATTATTTATTGTTTAAGATGTATTTATCTAGACGACTAGACGACACCTGTATGGTGTATATAGGTACTTATAGTACGGTGCAGTGTATGTCTTTGCTATAAATCTGTAGTAGGTACGTCACGAGGCAATCTTTTATTAACCGTTTAAAATTATCCGTCGATTTTCGCGATTTTTTAAAATTAGCAAGAGATCTTGTTTATACACAGTGGTTTCTAGTATTACGTTTAATTTACTTTTCATCGTACTGATATTTTTATTATATTTTATTTTTTAAGATTAATGACAACCACACGACAGCAGAATTCTTTTCTTAAAATGTTGATTGTACAAATGTCCATTATTGAACAAATGGTTTTCATTTAAAACTATTGTAGTCACTAAGCGTATTTAACGTGATGGTCGACCTGTAGTCAAGTATAAATATTTGCGTAGGGCACCACTTGAATGATTTGATGCACCACTCCTCTCATTTAAACTTTATCATATAATATATGTTAAATATTCGATAAACTCAATTCTTAATTCATAACTCATAGGTATTATCATTTTCAGAAATGTATTCAACTCCCATTAGAGGTTAGAAAATACATCAAACAATCTAAGACAAAATCAAAAAATCCTTGAAAAACCCCACAAAAAATTATATTTTTCGTAAGCTTCTTGTGGGAGTGTCACTTAACTTGTATACATCAAACTGTATAATATGGAAACATTTTTGAAAATCAACCAAGAAAATATTAGTTTAACCAGTGGAATCTAACACTCTAACCTATAATTAAGTGCATAGGACAAGCAGCTATTCTGCGTGTTTTCCATAAAGATGGTCTGGTTAGGTTAAGCATCAAGGACATGTGAAACGACGTTCGGTAGAACAAAATTACAAAAAATAGAAAAACAGTTATTTTTTATTAACCACACAATGTCTGTTTGTATTTTTTTCTGTATAGATCACAGTCTTGATGATCATGGTTGCAGCAGCGTCTGCCGGATTTTATCCGGCGACGATGGGCAACAAAGGTGCTGCCGTGGGACGAACTAAATCTGACACCAATCGTGACACTTCAGGCGATAGCTACCACATACAGTCGTCTGATGGACAATTTGTATTCGGACACGCCAATGGAGAACAGGTGAGGAATTAAATAGTTATATCATACGGTTATAGTTGAATACTTCGTTATCTACTCAGACTTTAGAGATTGTTAAATTAAAATAATACAATTCACAGAATATAGCTTAATTTGTTTAAGAAAATATACGTATATATAGGCAAATATTTTATCATCAGTGCAAGGCCCAAACTTTTGACGATATATCGAATTTTTCAAATAAAAATGTCAAGTATTCTGAATTATATGGTCTTAATATTTTATTATATTTTTATTTCTAGAGTGTTCTACCCTCCCCTCTAAATCATATTAACTCCTACTTGAGACTTTCATATCTTCTAATTTTAACCTGTGTTACTAGTATAAATTGAATAAAAGCTCTCTGCGACAGTTTTTCTACACTTGACATAAACATAATATGATATTGTACCTTTTTTGATAGAAATTAAGTATAGTATTATAATAACACTCTAACTACTATCAATAGTATGGTATTTATATAATACTATTAAATGATTGTGTGAAAATCAATAGAAAACTAACATGAAATAATAATTTTAAAAAAAAATTAGTTAAAAATAAGTTATCTAAAAACTATTTTTAGTTAGACTTATTGCGTTGATATTGTTAAATAAATGGATCAATATTTCACCGTTTTTACCATCAATATTTAAACAGATCTTTCTATTAAATATAATTTTTTTTGATATTCTTCTTTGTTTTTCACTTCCGACTATATGAGGTCGGCCATCCTTGCCCTATATTTTAATACTGCAGCGGCTACGATATGTTATATTTATATACATATTTTAATTATTAGTGTATTTAAAATTTTTTTTTTTTGAGATGTGGGACGGCGATGATGTAAAAACTGCATTTTCTCTGTACTTTATTTATGGTTTGATAATAAACTTCTTTACCCTTAGAATTAGAACTGACATACCTGTACAAAATAAAATAAAAAGATTAACTACAAATATTTCTATAAAAAACTTGTTACTAGTTACTTTAGTTTTAATAACAATCATAAATACTATTCTTTTTTAAAAATATATAACTATATAACCGTCAATGATTAGTAATTACGTCATATTGATAGTATTCGGTACAAGTTGTTCAATACATCACCTATAAATTAAACACATCATTAAAACACGTAAAAAATAAAAGGAAGTCTCTGGAGGGAGGAGGGGTTATATATCTCGCCAGGATTACCATCCAAAAACACACCCGACTAATTGAAATCAATAGTTATATATAGGTAATATGACTTACTGTTTTCAAACCTCTAGATGTCGTTTTTCTAAGTATATTACGCTTAATATATATAACATGCATATAAATGCATACACTTGAAGCACATAATATTAATACGCCTAGCATCGAGAATAAACAATATATGTCCATCAAATCACACGATATTATTGACTTATTAGTTTTCCACGGTGACAATTATAGAACTAAGGCTCCGGATCGATTTTTATAATATCGCCCATGTAACCGGTAGCTGCCGGGTGGTGTTTCTGGCGGCAATCGGTCGAAGGCGAACAACAGTGATAACAGCTTGGAAATAATGTTCACAGGGCAGAGCCGAGATGCGCGACAGCGACGGTACGGTGACCGGATATTACAGTTACGCGGACCGCGACGGTCGAGTGGTTCGTGTCGATTACGTGGCGGACAAGGGCGGATACAGAGTGATTTCGAACGCCGGCGTGCAGTCCGCTTCGGTGACCGTTCAGGCGGACGGCGGTGGTGCTCCCGCTGCTCAAACCGATTTCCGCAAACTGTACTCGGACATGACCCGACGCATCAAAGTAAGCAGCTTGCGCGATGACTGGAATTTGGAAGTCACTGCGAAGCTGAGCACTATAACTAGTTAGACGTGTGGTCAAAAATTTACTTTTGAAGTAACTTTCTAACTCGGCTAGTTGGTTTTCTTAGGTCTTCTTCTTATAATATCTTCGTAACTAAACAAATTACATTGAATGCGCAAAATTGTCTAATCAAACGCTTTAAAAACAAAAAGTAACAAGTTATTTGTTCACTTCAAAAACTCCAGTGTTCCGAAGGTTATTATTTGTAAGACGTAGAACTGCTAAGTGCCTACTGGATAATACTGAATCAAAAATTAATATTTAGTGTTTTATAATTAAGGAATGAAGGATACATTTCTTAACATATTATTTCTGATAAATTTCTTATAATTATTGTAATGCATGGCTTAAACCACAGCCACAGATGTAGATATTTAATAGAGGTACCTATACCTAATTATATTTTAATGTTTACCTAATTACATTTGGACAAGCAGGTTATTTAATTTATATTTTAAATTATAAAAAAAACTAATTCTAACTTCTATTCTAATTTCAGTTATTATTTTCACTAAGCTAGAAATTTTGGAATTTTCAGATACTAACTTATATTCTAACTTCACTAGTTATTATGTTATAGTAAATTAATTGTAACTATAGTTGAAAAAATGACCAACTTGCCCAGTTTTGATTCTGGTTCACTGTAGCTATATTATGTAGAAATTAATAAAAACAAAAAAAACGGAACCTCGTGGTAACTCTACAGAATCATATCGAAGATACGATATAAACAGTGTTTGCTCACCTCGCAAAATTTTTACCCTTACAGAGCACAGTCATTCAACGAGGTCAAAAAATGGTGGATCCTATCGGTGCAGGCCAACAGCCAGTCGTCATGGATCCGATTTTACACCCAACTGAAGAGGTAAGTGCGTGTTTTGAAAAGTATAATATATTATAATCTATAATACCCGAGTGATAGCTGGTAAACGGAAAGATAAGGTTTTATTTATTTCCGAAATATTACCGTATACATTATAACTGTATGATATAATATACTTATGCCTTCAATAGCAATAATTGTATAGCATTGTTTCAACGCCGACAATTGTGGTTGTTATTACAGTTGAATTGCACTTTTAAAAAATTATTGATTTTGCTTGTTTTGTTTTGAGTTGTTTGCGGTTCAACTCAACTTTCGGTTGTCTTTAAGTCTAAATCATTATATTATGACGGATTGCATTGTATATCTACCGAAATACGCAAACCTAATATTATTTTTCTGCAAACAGCTGTGGTGTAACTCTATTGTGTGACTTTCTTTTCACTATTAGTTGGTAGTTTATTTATTATTTATATAATGTATTTGGTATAATTTACTGTGTGGAATACAATTTTAAACAATTGCAAATAACAAATATAATTGTATTTATGTACATATATTACGTATTATTACAGACAAAACATTCAAACCAAGAAGAAAAAATCGATTTTCCGGATTGGAATCAAGTGAAGATATCTACGACCCAAAAACCAATGGTGAGTAAATTAAACTACAATGCAACTTTTTCCAAAGAAATAGTAAAAACATATGTAAGCAAACGAAAACAAAACTGTAATGTACATTTGTTACCAATCAGGATGGAATTGCAGAACAAGGTGAAGGACAACAACAACAAGAAATTGTAGATCCTAATTTGGATAGTGTTAAGATTACAACTCAAAAATCAAATGTAAATATGAACATGTATACAATAATATTAGTTTATAAAAGTTACAATAGTATTTATAAATAAATAAGTATTAAATTTAAAAAGTAGGAATATTATTCTAAAAAATACGTGTTTTGGAATTGTACTTTAACCAAGGTTTTAAATGGCTTTAAATTGTTCTTAAAGATATCCTTAATATAACTGTTGAACTATTAATTATATTTTAAATAGATTTTTTTACTATAGAAAACGACAAAATAATAGGTAAATTATCTTATACAACTAGTTTACTATGGTTATTAAGTCGTTTTATCTGCGAAGTCTAAAATTGCAAGAATGAAGACTGTGTATACTAAGGGGATGAGAGCTTTGATAATTAATTCATATAGTGTTCGTAATTTAGTTGGTATGCCAACGGGCTACGAAAAATCTCGAATATGAAATAATATATAGGCTTATTTGCTCCCTGACACACAAATTATTTTAATTTAATTAAGTAATACCAAATCATAAACTTCTATTATTTTTAAGCAGATTGAAAGAAATGATAACGATGACCAAGGATCTATTGGCGATTCGAAGATTGGAATGATCACTACAGAAATGCCTTTAGTACCATTAGTTCCGTTCCAGCCTCAAGTAATAAAAATAATCTTGTTTTATCTTTATTTTTTTTTTTTACATTTATATGTTTTTTTGGATGGGTATAAATTTTTTTCTGACCGAATTTTTCTGACAGTTAAAGTAACCATGGCAACAGAATATTATAAAGGTATGACGTTATCATTTAGAATTATTATATACCTATAGGGTTCCCCTAGCAATTGAAGATTAATATAATACTATGTTACCATAGCAACCTCCTTGATACATTTTTTTAAATCATAACTTTAAAGATAATGATATACGTCATATAGTTTAATGTTCTTCTAATAGTGGAGTAAATATCAAGTAACACGCTACGTTTTTCTTTTTAACTAAGAAAAACGTGGGAAAATTTCTAAACGCTGTTTGTGGTTACCTGCAATTTCTGCTCATAGCTAAAAATAAATCTAAGCATTGTTTACATACTATTTGTATACACAGTAGTACAGTTTATATATTATATTAATATACACTAGGATTTATATTAATGATCCATTGTCACTGGATACAATACAAATCGAAAGAAGACTATCGAAGACTATTGTGTGGTTTTGAATGTTTTATTGATAAAAACCTTGATATTAAATCATTGGATTATATAATGTATAAATAATAATAATAGCTAACAATTTATTAAATTGTATGTAGACATGATTTAACTGTACAATACTTGTCTAGGTTAACACGAGAGGAGATCGTAAGGGAGGATACTCTGATACAGTATCGCACGAAGATCATGCCAAGGTAAGCTCGACTATTATTGTGTACAGTATTTTATAGTATAACTGTATAGTGTATATGCAGGTTATTAATAATGCATTCGTATTAATTAATATTATTATTTATCGGTAATTCAGTATTGTCTTTATTAGTTAAACTTTACATGGTAATTTATAATTATATACAAAAGTACTGTATGAAGATGTTTTATTCTTTAGATCTAAACATATAATTTCGAGCACAGTACGTTGTTTTGACTATTTAATTATATTAAATATTACACGGTTTAATATTAAGTTTTTGTTTTATAAGGAAATTACGACTGAAGTCGGCAATTCTATGGTCGGTGCAGAATTTACCGTAATCGATGACACAGAAAATAATTCACCGGTCACGAAACCCGTAATTGTTTCATCACTTTCTATTTGTATAATTACTATAAAAGAATATTTTTTTGATCCAGATATCGATTATAAGCAACATTCAAACAACGGTATCATATTACGACGGGCCTGGACAAACCACTGAAAGTAACGACGGACGACTAGCTTTCCAGGTATGAATATTGAATCAATGAAATAATTTCATATGTATTTTACGAATAAAGTACAAGTTATAGAGCATAAGTGGATGTTGATATAAAATATTTATAATTTATGCACTTGAAATTGATCTATTAATCAATAGTTAATCGATGTGTACTGTTAGGTTATAAAATTATTATTTAAGGCTGTTAGAACGAATTTTGTAGTTACATTTTCATGATTCTAGACAACAATATCTGGTGTAAAACAATTTGATGAATATTCAACAGCAGTGGTTTCAGAAAGGGCGACGGAGCATTACCAAACCATTAAAGAGAACGAGGACAAAATTAAGGTGCCTAACTGAATAAAAGTCAAAGATTCGTTGAAAATAATATAGGTACCTATAGTTCTAAACATTGAAATGTATAATGTTTTTCTTTGTATAGATTTCATCTGAAACGGATGTACTGGTGACCATCAAACCACTACAGGATAATGAATCATTTGAAAATGTACAGACTACAGTTGAACCGAGTCGTCAAACCGACGTCCAAGTATGTATTATTATACGTATATTTATTTCAAAAAATCACTGACTCTGGCATGTTCATTATTGCAACTCTTATAAAAACAAGGGCCGAATAGTTCCAATACATATATAAGTACCTACGTTTCATTCTGTTTCTAAAGTAAGACATTTGTTTTTTAATTAACGATTTTGTCTGTCAAAATAAGAAGACATCCATAAAAAAGAATGTGTGATCAAAATGCTTAGTTCTCTATGACTGAGTTTTTTGTCTCCTAAAATAAAAAAATGCAAAGTGGGAATTGGGAATTTGTTGTTATAAGTGTCTCGATTGTAAAACATTCGACGATCATTCAACTTACATTTTCAGACCACCGGCGTATCGTCCAGTGTCGATTACACGACGATCGAAACGGTAAACAGAAATCCCGCTTTAGTCAGTACGCTGCGGCCTTCGTACGAATCTGAGATCGCTACATCGCAGGTAGGTGCTAAGTATAATACGTAATATTATCGCGAGCGGTATTTAACAGACGATATATAATATTGAATTTATTTTAAAAACGCGTGTGTTCAAAGACCGGTGGTAGGGTCGGTGACACGGAAACCACAACTGCAGTCGATGCAGCAGGCATTCAGTACGTGACCGAACAGAACAATAATAATGAAGACCGTCCTGAGTTTAGAGTGAGCAATCTACATTTTTTTTAAACCACTCGTTCCGCTGGCGTTTAATAATGTTTTGACCGTTGTTTTTTTATAACGCAGACCCTAGAGCCCACAGAGTCGATTGGGACTACCATCAGACCTGACTTGGAAAATTCCCAGGTAAGTGGCATTCCTATATCATAGAAAAACGATGCAGTGGGATTAGTGGGAATGTATCAGATAACGCTTAGAGCCACATTAAAAAATAATTGAAAAATATTTTCCTTTATTGAATATTGTCCACGGAAAAGTGCTTAGTACCTATATGTATTTCAAATATTTTGACTGAAAACAAAATTCTTCATTTTCTATGATTTGCTTACTATAGTGGCACTAATGGAAATAGGTGAGCCAATGGTTGTGCCAAATGTAATTTTTTATGAAATCGTAATAATGTTTTTTGATAGAAAAGAAATGTTATATCGTATAATTTCTATTAATATCATATACAATATTATACATGGATGGGACATACCGCATGTATTCAAGTGTGATCAAAATGCATACTTAAGCATACTTGTTTCCAAAGTTGTTAGATGTAATTAATGTGTGGTATCATAAAAATATCAAACCGTGATAAGTGAAATCACAATATAAATATTTAAGTACCATTTTAGTTTGTACTTTGTTATAATAACTTACAACTCTGACTAATTAGTAGTAATTACAAAAGAAAAAAAAAATTTTAATTTACTATTTGATAAAAAAAATTGGCAGATATGGGATTGATAAAAGATTGTCTTCACGTACGCAGTATCTTTAACAGTTTAACCGCATACAACCATTATGGTAACTAGTAGACTTTTCGCTCACAGTATATCGTGTAATCTAGGTATGTCCTTACCATGTATTTAATATCCATGACACTTTCGGTGTTTTAAAATGTTGCATCTCCCCTTTCACGTCATTCTTTACGCACACAGTTGTATGAAGTTTTCATCTACCTATGGTTATGCTACAATCTCTGCTTGCATCATATTTATTTTTGATCAAAATTTAATTTAAGTTATTTTTTTCTATTATGTGTAGCAAGAACAAGAGATAGTTTGGCCAGAAATCCCACAAGAGCCAGTGCCTCAAGTCTTGGTAAACAGCAAACATAATACTAATATATTACCTTTTATTGTCTACAGATAACAATAATAACCTTTTATAATATTTTATTATTCAACTATTTCTATATATTATTTTAGGTACCGCTGGATCCATATCCCGCCGAAGATGTGAGGCCGAAAAATTCTGGTGTCAAGACTCTGCCAAACGATTCGAGACCGGTAAGGTAATCGACTAAGACTGTTATAAAGAATTAATCTGATAACCTGACTAGAATTTTTGTTGAATATAATGTTTTTTACAGGTCAGAGATTACAAACCGGACGAATTGAAAGCAGAGGCCAACGTCTCAGAAATCGAAACAACGACTCTGATAGAAAATAATGAAGGAGAAAACGGAACTATGTTCAATTTTCCCAAATATTATCTCATAGGCTGACGATGGACGCGCGTATCATAATAAATAAATAATAACTAATAACATTTTACCTACGAATATTGTGTTCATTAGACTTGTTAATATGCAGCTTATTAGCTTTGCGTGTACACTCATTTATGACAATCGTAATTATAAATTGTACACTTCTCGAATTAAATAACATGTTATGTATAATTATATTGAAATTAATGTATTCCAATAAAAATTATTGAGTTACTGTAGTACATCGTTTTTATGCGTTATGCAATATATTTAGATGTTCTGAACAACTATACCTGGAACGAATAAACGATATGGTTGTTACTTCGTGGTTATTGGTTAGGTATAAATTATTAATTTCTAATAAAACTTAAAATGTTACTTAAATGCTATTAGAACTGCATTTTCGTGGCGTACTTAATCGGAAGATCTCTACATGAAACGGAGAAGTGCGATTAATTTTTATTATTTCGCATTGACGGCTGCTGTCAACACGAAACAAATGTGTTTCTCAACAAAAACGAAACGAATGCACTTTCCAGAAATGAGTCGTGTACATTATTAATAGTACTAGTTTCACTCGAAACCACAACATACTGTTAGATTGCATCTCGAATTGTTTAAATGTAGGTTCATTAATTATTGAAAATAACTAACAGTCGAACAATCACTGTAGCACAGGACTGGTTATGACGCGTAAACGGTCAAATATATTATATTATATAAAATATAAATATATCTTATTATTAGTTATTACTTAACAGCAGTTTGTGCTGTATATGAATAGCATATGAATATATAATATTTATATTTATACAATTTAAATTAAATATATTATGCATTAAACGTGATTGGAAAAATACTTTCGTTTTATTCTCTCTCCGTGTTCCAATAAAAATATACTTTTAAATTTTCATTATCTCTGTCTCCATCTCCTGTCACTATATTTTTATAAAAATATAAGGTAATTTTTTCAATAGACTTTGAATAAGATATCAATTATCATAGTTTTAACAGTTATTTTAATTTTATTTTAATATACATACACATATAATCATTCAAAGTTAGGATGATTTGAATAAAATACCAAGTGTTTGGCCATCTAAAATCTATTTGTAGCAATACTATATTCATACAAAAACACTTTTTTTCTTTAAAAGTATAAAAATTAGCCGCTTGGTCGAACCGTACGTTGCTCATATTGGTAAGTAGATATTTAATTTCGCAAACAGATATTATGTATCAAAATAAGCACCCAATTTTATGTTCGTGTTTATAATTCCGTATAAGTTGAGCAAGGCGGTCAATGTTGTTAAATCATATAATATTTTTTGATGTATCTATTTATTAAACAATATGTGTTATTTATCAGTCAGTTAGCACACTCATTGTGAAACAATAATCAACACATACTTCTGTCGTGTAAATTAAATTAATAATAGGTATGCATTGACTCAAATTATTTAAAAAAATTGAAAAAAAAAATGAGACTTTTATAATTGCAACGACTCAGTCTCCGTGGACCAAAATCAGCTTTCAGCCCTCTCGGGGGGTCTAGGGGTCTCCCCAGCGACGCTCGGAGAGCTAGTATTGTCTAATAAAATAAAGAGTATTAAAAATAAATACGAACAAATTTAAAAAAAAAATCCAACTAATTTTAATTACATAGGTAGTAATTATACTTGACTATGAGAAATCTTCAGGACCGTAATTAATTTGTTAAGTTCTTTTTGTACCTATGCAAATATGTTTTTAATCGAGTATAAATACAATTGCCATGTTTATAATTTAGCAAAAAAGTAAATTTGATCTTTTTTTTCGTATTTTACTATTTTTTTGTTTGAATTAATACAAAATCACTAAAGAAGTATTTTAAATATATTTTTAATATTTATATAAATATACATTTTTGTGTAATATATAGCCATGATTGGTATGTTACATTATAAGAAGTATATTGCATTTATAGACCTATAATATTACTATTGTCCGTGGTCGAAGAGGAAAAACAATATCATTCGACATCGTACTATTCGTTTTTAAAAATATATTATACTTTTATAATATAACATATATACGGGTATATCTACTATCTACATATTATAATATTCATCGCAATAATAATATTATAATAATTGTCTGTCGGAAGTGCGACGGACTCGGAAGCGGCCGCGGTGTGTCGGTCACCTGGTGTCACGCGGGCACGGCGAAAAACAAAAGCGGCAGCGGCAGCGTGTTCAGGTACCGCGACACCCGAGTGACAGACGCGCGGGTGGAGAGAGAGAGAGAGAGAGAGAGAGAGAGAGAGTGATTGAGTGAGCGGGAGAGTGTGGGTGAGAGAGTGACGGAATCGCGTGCACATATTATTATTATTATTATTACATTAGAGGGGCGAAAGTATATTTCCAACACAGTCCGGTGAACACCGACTTGTGTTTTAAACAGTCACCTCTTAGTGCCGGGTGCGAACGGTTTGTTGTGGACTTGTGCGTGGGAACTGGGTATACCGCCGTGGCCGCTGCAGCGTTAGTTTGTGTCCGTGTGTGGAAAACCGAAATTTTGAATGTAAAACAAAATTGGCGGACAAGTTTTGTTTTTATAATAAATCGTTGATTACAATAGTGTCCGCTGTGGATTTTACATACGAATGACCAACGACCTCAGAAGGCGAGACGTGAATTAATTAATGCACTGTGGACGGGGATTCGTAATCTAGGACGACTTGACCTGAGATCATCAGCAGCAGGTCAGTTAATTTATTATTGTGCCTTGTATGGGTGTATCATGTGTCTGCTTTATACAGTGAATTTACCATATTTTGACTTTTAATGTAATTTTCTGTTTAACGAATTATATAACACCTGAGAACCGTATTAGGTATCCAAATTAGGGACAAATATATATAATCATGTATTCATATTGTTTCTTTTTATTTGTAACTGTTAAGCTTTAATAATAATAATAAAAAAAAATATGTATGTATATATATAATCATATTATTAATTTCTCCTTGATAGAATTTTCTTTTTGCGACTTCTTGATAAGAGCCCCTTATTATTAACTGGTGAAGCCTACCTAGGTGTTTGTATTTTTCTAGTTAAACATGTTATATCTTATGCAAATAGGAATATATAATAATATTAAACGGTACGACACTGTTTTAGGGGCTGCATCGAAAAGTATTATTTTATTCAGCCAACCTCCAAAGTCAGTAGGTAACTATTATATCTGTTAGACATAACAATTTTTATGTACATTTTTGTAAAAGGTACCTAGTAAAATATGGTACCCCGCGGGCCACGAGTGTTTTAATATGGTACCTGGAATATGCAGAAACGTTGTTTGCTATCTGCAGGTTATAGTGATATCAATAAAACGCATACCTATATACCTTGATTTTGGATGTATAGTTTTTACAGCATTACTCGAATGAACTTACATTTTCATTTTTTTTATGTTCTTTTGACTTAAACGAATTGGTTGTTATTGCGTATATGGGACTGAATAAAATTCTTAAGCTCAAGCTCAATAGCTTGACCAAGGACTCACCAGAAGCACCTCTATAAGTCCCCGAGCCTAAAAGGTTATAATTTTCATTTTATTATTTGGGAATACGGCGGGGGTAGACTTGATACCTAATTTTAGCACTTTCGAGACGTATTATTTATACTTGAGTCTATAATATAGTGCATAATATATTATACTACCCGCAGTACTATTTATAAGTAATGCATGTGTACGTTATAGCACGCGGTGAAACACCGTGTATCCAATATATACATTCTGGTAGATAATTGTTGAGTGCTAATTTTGACGGTAAAACTATACTAAATAATGACCACCCAGTTAAACACTGCTGCAGTGTTTACACTACTGCGACGAGACAACTGCGCCTAGATAGATGAGAGTAAGAGATTATAAAAATTCGTTAGTTTGTATGTATATTTGAGTTTTTAATGATCGCCGGAGGAAACTAATTTTTAATTAATCAATTTAAAGACGAATCCTCAAAATCCTAGTCCATAAACGCCGCAGTCACGTGCATGAAATATATTAATATTATAACGATGCTGTAAAAACGCGCTCACTGGAAAATAATATCAAAACATTATTTATGTGACAATACAGTGGAAAGTCTTTCGTGGTTGTTTAAATGTACCTACAAACAAACTACACATATACAAAATATGAAAATAATATTTAAATAAACGATGACAACTGATATTATATACAGCATAGTACATATACTATTATTATACACAATAATATTTGAATATGCTGTGCAAAAAACGTTTCGAGTTTAAAAGAAAAAAAATCCATTTCAAGCGCACTTATCTCTAACGTGTGTTCAATACACATATTTTGTTATTTTTAATTGGCTGTTTAAAATATATTTCGTAAATAGTCTATACGTGTTTTACGTGATGTCGAATGAATGAAAATTTATCGTGAAGAATTAGTTCCGACACAAATATTCACAATATCTTTCTAAAACGAATAAGAACGACTACGACGTTATAGCTATAATAGTACTATTTTATTATTTTATGATTCGTTGAGACGATTATTTTACACGTGTTAAATTTACACACATAATATATTCTAATTTATTTTCTTTTATTATTATTCATACAATGTAAATTGTATTGTATATTTATTATTGTTAAATTTGATTTTTAAACGTAGTTTTACTAAAAAAAACATTGGCTGTTTGAAAATTAACACGCTGTTTGCTCTTTTGTCAGACAAGACATACCTAATATTATTAGACATTTAGACGTTAGTGTACTATTATGACATGTAGATTAAGAATGATTTTTATTTATCAACAATACCTACGAATAACCAATAGCATAACAAGGATAATGACAACAATTAAAAAAAAAGAAGCCCTGTCCTTCATACGAGAGTGATGGTCTATTGGTATAAGACTGGATATTTTACCTAAAAATAATATACTAATATTTAAAAAAATTAAAATATAAAACATACAAATACAAGTGAGGTGTGTGTTGAAAATCCCTTGGAATAAAATTCTTGAATATTAATATTCCATTTTAATATCAAGACGATTTATTACAATTAATTGATAAGCTGAAAAAATAAACTAAATTGAGCGTTCTTGGAGTTCGAATGTTAAGAAAAACTTAATATATTGTATTCATTTTTTCTGTTGAAAAGAAATACTTATTTAAATCGTTTGCATCGTATAATAATAGAAATGTCATCACGGTATAAATAAAAACATTTTATTGTAATACATTCGGGACTATGTATAATTTTGATATATTTACTCATATGAAAGCGGCAATATTGTGTCAACTTTATGGTATAATACCGTCGGTGAGTATATATAGTGCGTATTTTGTTACTATTCCACATTGGTAATGCACTAATGTTTGCGAACAAGCGTTACGAAGACTCGCAGACATGGTGTGACACGTGATCGTGGTACTTATACAGTTATACATAATATTATGCAGTTTCATACAGCGTATAAATATAAATACAAAAATATGTAGGTTGCAGTGGCAAATATATGAGGATTTCATTTCGGGTGAAATGAGTATATGGATTTCTATAAACAGTTTATTGTAAAATACCACTTTTGACAGGTTGCTTAATTTTTTTAAAATAGGTGGCTTGAAATTTGGGGAGGAGTTTGTAAGCAGTGTCACCGTGAGGGGTGTGTAGGGAATGCGGCCACAAAGGACTTTGCGCTTATTGAGACCGTGAAGTGTCTAGCGCTTTTTTACCGTTATTATAATAAATATTTGTGTTATATTTATTCTTGATATCTACCAATAGATGTTGTACTCTAAAACTGAAAAGAATAATATAGAATAAACAATAAGGTATGAATAAGACAGTAGTTACGATATTTTAGTTGTCCTCGAGCAGTTGAGCCTAGCATTTATAAATTGCACTGGGTCTCTGGCTCATACATAGTGCCACGCCGGCACAGGTTGTAAGCCTCTGCGAAATCATCTCTCTGATTTCATAATCGCGTGTTACGATATGACTTGGATACAGCCCACATTTGCATCTGAAACCTGAAAATGTCTAGCCAATAGCCATACACATCAACTAAAATTGCATATATAATTTATTTAATATTTATAAGTACCTATACCCGAATATATTTCGTATTAGATGTGATCACAAGTCAACACGCGGTTATCATATTATTATGAATTGAAACTTTGTGTGCCATCTGTCGATAAAACGATATGTATTTTTATAGGTATAAACACTCGCTTAAAACTGCCTGTAGATATTGGATCACATAATGTCTGCACAATCATTACATATTATGTATTATTATTATCATTACAGATGCTCAGAGTGAATCCGGACGAGGTGAACTGCATTACGAATCATGAGCACGAGATTCCATAAGTAAGTACACTAGTGCACAACTATACTTGGTATTATATTGTTCGTGGCTAAATATATGACCCACGGGTCTTCGTAAATCGTGACCAGAACGCAATATGATTTGATAAAAAGTGTAAGTGTGATTCTGTTGGAGTGGATCGTTTGCTGTTTAATGATGACTATCTATTATAAGTGCCAAAAATAATTGCCTATATCATAAAATTGGCTGGTAATTAAATATTTTGTGTAGACATTTGAGTAATTTTAGATACCTACCGAGTACTGAATTACCAGACTACGATAATATTATGTTTCTTTTGTGTACCTACTGAATTTTATATACGTTTTGGAGGCCTTTGGCTTGGATTAGACCATCTTTTGGTTTGTAATTTAATCGGTATATGAGTATATTTTGTTGAAATCTCAAAAAAATCCAAGAAGAACGAACATTCATTAGCCATGTGTATTTTGATATACGTATCAAACCACATCGTTTCAAACGTTTAGTAAAAATATATATAACTCAGGGACGACAATGATATAATTATAGCGTAATATAATGATCATCTAATTGTTAATTTCATCGACAACCATGTGCATAATGCTGTCTATGTTAACGAATCTTAGAGTTAATTAATTCGTAGGTAGTTAAACAAAAATTTAAGGTTTAGAATGTTTTCAATTCAACTCGCTCTTTTTAGACGTAGGCGCAAATGCTTTCTCTGTATGCGCGCGATACGTCATTATTGGTATATAATACTATTAATACTACCTACAGGTAGGTGCAGCGATGTTCTAAACAAGGCGTATATACCTACCACATGAATCAATAAAAATAAATAAATATGATGGTATATAATTATGCATTGTATATTAGGTATATACTTGTCGCACTCTCTTCGTTGTAACTTCGTGCGCGCGTGTGTGCAGTATACATTATACATTGTTCAGTAACATAATTAAAACGAAATAAAAATAAATCAATACCACAGAGTCTTGATTTTTTCCGACAAATTTCTACTGACCGAGTTCCATTGTATGCGACGAGACAATAATAATATATTAGAACATCTCATATACGTTTGAATTTGAGGGTACCGCGGGAATCGAATCAAAAATAGAAATCCACAACTTCTTATATATTACGTATTATTATTTGCTCCAGATGAGTGATGACGAACACATGCAATTTACTTGTGAATTATAATTCGTTGGGTTTGCGAAGAATGATTTTTTAATTCAAACTTGTGATTGATATTGTACGTATATATAAAATGAACAACAAAAAAAGGAAATGTTGCATATTTCGTTCGTATGTAATGAATGAATAATTTGTAAGCGGCCGTTTTCGACGAGAGTGAATAGTCATGCCGTGTGCTTGTATTATTGTGTCCTCATCTAGATCATTTCTAAACGCAGTAAAAATCAAAGCGTTTGAGGTGGGACGTCCGTCAAGTCTTCAAATGCACTCAAGGACTTGGTTTATTATATAATTATAAATCGTGGGTAACAATCCTGTACGTGTTGTGTTTAAAGTTAGATTTCGATTCGTATAATATGATCAAATTGTGTCGAGCATTTAGATATTGCGTGTACTTGCTCTCACATAGTCATATCAGTTCTATAATATTCTCAATGGAAATGTTACTTTATTGATGAACATATTTAATAAGTAGGTGTAAAGACGTAAAGTATTATAGCATTAATAACTATGATACTGCGTAATATATAAAACTCAACAACTGCAGCATAAATTAAAATAGTGATCCATATTATTAGTATCATAATTCATTATCAAGCCTATCAAAATTACAAGTAAATAACGAATAAAATAGTGTCTGAGTAGAATTAAAAAATAATAATAACACAATAAAATTTCTATTGTGAAATTGCGATATTTCAAAGTAACACAACGAGGGCGTTTACAAGTGTACACACATTTTCCACGCTATATGCGATTATTTTTAATGAAGAGTCGTACACCTATGCGCATATAATGCTGATATTATATTATAATAAACTCGTTACATTTTCCAGATTTTAATTATTGTTTTACACTTTCCCCGAGCACAATTATTCTCACTTTTCCCATTTAATATAAATTCGCATTGGCTACGATTGCGTTTAAGATGGCACCTATATGGGTATCTTACGCGGTATTTATACAACGGATAGGCAGGTAGGTACATGGTCAAGGTAGATAAATTAACAGCTAAAACCACAACTAGCATCGTGTTTCTCTTTAAATTTAGTTGACTTGATTTCTTCTCTAACTATTCAACATTTCGTATTCGTAACAAATTATCTCTGTAAATTAAATAGAAAATTAAAGATTTCGCAGCCTTACGCTGTACATAAATATAATAGGTATGTAGTTTTTTCATTTGGCGTTCTTAATTAATTATTACCGCTTACAGACATTATTAAATACCATTTAGTATTTGCTATACTGTTGTTTATAATCATACAGCTGAAGTATAATACTTGTAACTAATTTTTAATTAAAAAAAATCTCGATTAAAATTAACTTTATTTTTATATTTTGAGCCTACCTAAATGTATATTGATTTTACGATGAAGTTCTTATATTTTGTTATGACTGTTTTCAGTGTGTTTGTGGAAGTGGCGCCTAGCAACTTACAGAACACTGATATAAAGCCACCTTTACGGTGTTTAAAATAAATGTATTGTTAAATGTTAGTCCGTGTTCTAGACAACATAAATTTATTACTCAGATAATTTTTTTTATTATCAATTGACATTTATCACAAAACTGTTGGTTTTCTAATATTAACGTTAATATAAAAGTTTTTTTAACAACAATATATTTTGATTCTATTATATTCCTTCTCAAATTCGAATCTAGTATTTTCATGTTCATAACTCGTTGCTGAGTAATGAGTATGCACAATGAACACATTAGAAACTGTATCGAGTATTTCGATTTTCGAGTGGGTAATATTATATTCATACTCAAATTACCGATATTATAATATATATGGCGTATTTGTTTGCTATTTGTATCATTATTATGACGTTTAACTACAACCTATACAACCCATACGCTTTCTTTAAAAACAAACATGATACATTTTCACAAATTTACATCATCATTTTCTATTCCTTTGCGTCAATGATAACTTTTAAATCTCATTCGACTCACTTATAATTTGATTAGCTATTTAGGCTACCTAACGGTATTGTACACATGTATATTATATTTTAATTTTCGTCGTCGACGATCGGACGATATAATCATCAGGTACCTGCCTACCAAGTCAGCTTCGAATATTTTACGCATCGTCATAATAATTGCATAGTATGCGAGAGTATAATTAATTAACAATATATATAATCATACAGTTACATCCTATATGTAATTTTATTTCAAAGGTCAAACGGCCGATAATTAATTACATTAAAAACGTGCAAGGTCTTCTGTGTGTCTTTTATGGGTATATATAATATCTTAATTATTTGCAGGTATTTAACAAAGTATGCTGTAATAATGTACAATAATAGTTTGCGGAATAGGTATGTAGTACGTTAATTTTCGTAAACGCGTTTATATATATATATGATCGGACAGCCTTCAAGAGGATCCTCTGCCCAATATCAAATTAATAATATAATACACGTAATAGCCGCTTTGTATGCGTATATTCTACATATTATTATAATTTATAATAACGTCACAATACTCACGCAATATATTTTATATGCGTATAATATTATCTACCTAAGCCGCGGTGCAATGCCCTACTCGACTCAGTGATTTCATACAATTCCCGGGACATCACCACCGCAGCCACGTGCATATATATATAAATACCTACAATACGAAATACAATATGGACGTACGTGAAGTAGAACTACCGATGAGTGTAGATAATATATTGTTATTAAGTATTTTCAAAACGAGATCGAGTCTAATGCGAAAAAAAAATTAAAAACCCAAGACGTCACGACGAAGTATTATGATTTTTATCGTCACGAGAACTCTGTGTTGTGATTCAATATTTTTAAAATTATTCCAACGAAAATCTATTTATTGAAGTGGAGAGTGTAAAACCTAACTGCAGCGAAGTCGTACTTTCGTACGCGTTATTAAACTCGACAGATGAAATCAATACCGTTTCTACTTACATATATATTAATGCAAATTAAAAAACTGATTTACAACCTAACGTAATATTATATAGTTGAGGATTATATGTTATACATCGTAACTCGAAGACAATAGTTTGACAATTTTACGAAATGAGAACCATTTACATCACGCAATGCACGAATTATAAAAAAAATTATCAAAACAGCACTTCTTCAAGAGATTAAAGCTCAAATCAAAGTTTTGTAATTCTTTTTATGTAATTAATACTATTCATTTTTGGAATAATACACATCAACAATTTTGACAAATTAATTTTAAAATCTTTAGTTGACATTTTTTATTACCTATTATACAGAATAATCATAATGTGTGAAATAAAAAAAAGTGAAATGACGGATACTGTTTAAAAATTCCGTAAAATCGGATAAAAAAATGACATAAAAAGTCCAAAAGTTACCTTTAAAATACAAAGTGTATTAACAAAAACATTAAATTAAAGTTCCACAGTTTTATTAATTGTCACACACCTAAATCAAACGTTATGTTAGAAAAACTATGCCGTATACGATAAATTAGAAAATTGATTTTTCAATAAATTCACAGCCTTACGTAAATATTATTGTTTATTACGATCTGCGACGTGGAATATACGTTCCGTTATAACAGCAGTGACACGATATTTTTTACCTGGGTCGTGTAGACTGAATCGTATACACGCACAGCATTATATTACGATTTAGTGAAACTGCAGTTTGGCGCGTTGGAAATATCTCATTGATACCCATTTGATGTGTACCCTCGCATTATATTATCAGAATGCACGAAACGAAAATCGAAATAAACGTCCGGCGGAAACATTTGTGCGTAAAACTCCTCGATTGAACACGAACCTAAATCAACAATAGACATTCCGGCGCAAGATGTGCCCAAGTCGCATTACAAAACAACTGCTTTCTAATAGCTCCGAGATTAGGGGCACGCCGCGCCATTGCCGCCGATTGTTTTTCCTTTCACCGGGTCAAAAATCGGCGGTCCTCGCGTATAAATCGCCTATCGGTATACGTATTGTTGCGCCATCGTTTACATATTTGATGCTATTAAATCGTTGTGTTTAACGTTTGGAAATGAAAACACATAATAATATATATTATTATTGTTTAACATTACTTACATTATGTGGTTTTTTGATTTTCTGTTGTTTTGTGCAGAGCGGCTCAAGATGGTTTCGTAAACCTACTGAAAGAGGCAACCAAAAGAGATTGTAACGCCAAAGATGATGACGGGATGACGCCGACGCTTTGGGCGGCTTTCAAAGGACACCTGGAAGCGTTGAGAATACTCGTTGGCAGAGGGTAAGGGTGACATGCGATAAAACATGTTCATGTTGTTATTTTTCAACTTTAGTCAAACGCGTTTATTATGCTATTAACGGTTAATCAAGGAAATCAATCGATTGTGTAACGATCGGTGGGAAAGCGTGACATTTGGATCCCAAGACTAATCGGTCTTATATGATGATGGTATAATATTATATATAGGTACCATAGGTTCGGTTTCAGTGAGATAAAAACAATAGTGACAACGTAATAAGACGAAAAAAAAATATAAACAAATAAAAATACTAGTCATCTATAAAAACTAACGTTTAACGATACTTTGAATCTTTGTAGGCGACATCCTGTCGTGTAACTATTGCAATATTATATATAATTCCTTTTCATAAAAAATTTAAAGAACTGAATAAGCGGGAAATTTCAACAAACAGTAACAGTATAAATGAACAAAAAATATTCTATTTACTCAAAAAAAAAAAACAAAGACATTAAAACTTGTATTAATCAAAACATATCATATTGTGTTTTAAATCTCATTCAACATTTAGTAAAATAGACAATATTACTTATTTATTTTAGACCACCATACAAACTGACCCTTATAGCTCTTAGTCACGGCTAATCAAGCACGGTGTCTGACTAAGTGTAATCTTAAATGACTTTAATAAAAATAGTGTCATTGTTTTTGAACAAATCATATCCAACGTTTTAGAGGTGATCCGGAAAAATGTAATTACCATCTTGGACAAAATGCATTACATCTGGCCGCGTCTAAAGGACACTTGAGTTGTGTGACCTTTCTTGTCGGTTTCGATGTCAATTTGTGGGCTTTAGACTTGGACTTTCTCACGGCAATGCAATTAGCAGCCATACATGGTAAATCGCAAGTACTCCAATACTTGGATAAAGCGGCCGCATCTCAAATAATGCAGAACAAGTAAAATAATTTTACACAATAAAAATGGGTACAGTTGACCGTGGTTATTGGTTTTACAATTATCAACGTTTTTTTTTTTAGGAAAAAAGTTGAATCTAAGAAAGAAAAGGCACAGAAAGACGCAGAACGCAACCAAAAGAAGTACGAAGAACGGACGAAAAAAGAAAGAGAAAAAGAGAAAAAGCAAATTAGAAGGGTAGAAAAAGAATATTTAGGTGGCAACAAAGCAGATTCGGAAACTGCTATACCTACGGTTCGATCAATTCCTTTGTCGTAAGCATTGTACAATTTAAATATACATTTTAAACTAATTCGGTTATACATCCATTTCTAAAAGTAATCACACGTTTTAAATATTGAGGTAATTAGTGTGTCTATAAAAATGGCACTGCTAATAAATAACAACTCACTTTTGTAACAGTCACAAAAAAAACAAAAGACATTTTTTTAAAACTCAGTTTTGAAACGGAATCTCTCACCGTGCAACCAATTCTCTGTGTAAAATGACTATACCTAATGAGATTACATTAATTTTGGCAGTTTACGCAAATCGTCATCAGACCTGTCCTGTAAGTCGTTTACAGAGATCGTCGGATCGGGTACCGTGAAAAAACCGTTTGTTAGCTCGGGTGGAGTTAAGAAAATATTGGACAGGAAAATGAAGGCGGCAGCGGCAGCGGTGGACGCTCACAACAAAACCAACAAATCGTCGTTCAAATCGATAAAAGAGGCGAGTATACTATTATGCTGCATTCCTATCTAATTAATTGCTAGAGGCTTGTTTACCGGATGACACTATACTGCAATGTTCGAATTTCACAGTAAGTGTATGTACTGTCGTACCCATACGTTGTATATTTTATACATATTATACACCCAAACGTTTCCCTAAAATAATAGAAACTTTTTCACCATTAATTTTATAAATTATAAAATTGGTAAAGTAAAATGTTGTAAAATTCCAACATTGCAATGTCAGACAGTAGGTTTAATCCACATACACTACCTACCTACGACCTATTATTATATTATGATTCAAATACTGTCAAAACATGAATATATTTTTAATAATACAATAGACAATATCCTACCAAAAATTCCGTTGCCGTCGTTGCGCAAACATACTGTTATTTTATTATTTATATTATTGTTATCGTTACGTAAACGATCTACAGGTCGAGGATAGCACGAGTGTACGAACCATAACGTCCAATGGAGATTCGCAAATTATTTATGTCAATTCGTACGAGAACGAGAACGGAGGTAAATACAATAAAATATCAAATTGATAATATTATAATAATATTTAATATGTATATCATATACCTAGCTCATAGTCAACATTAATCACAAAACGATTTTATAAACACGATTGCGATCGCATTCGTAGGTGCGTAGTGGTACACCATGCGTACAGTCGGCACATTTTGCGATAAAGTCTATTATAAAATCGTATTGAACGTTGTGCCGCTTGTACCTAATGCGTTTTTGAAGGGAAGAATAATTTCGCGTTTTGTAGTAATGCGTAAATAACTAGGTGAAAAACAAATTCACAATATGCGTTGTAGCTTATAATTTATTTGAATTTTTTCAATAAGTAGGTATTGTAGTTTGAAGTGTATTTTAATAAAATATTATATTAAACAATATCGGTCTCAGTCAATTATACTTTCAGAACAATTTCTTCTGTTATTATATTTTTAATATAGTAATATTATCAAATGAAAATGAAAACAAAAAAGTGTTATTGAATTTATAATGGACCATGAATAATTTTTTTCGTATAGATTTCGGCTGTTTCAATAATTTTTAAAAATTAACTATAATTTCATATTTCCACGTCATTCCACCTATATTAGCGTATATCTACATATTTTTATAATAGAATAAGAAAATCATATTTTTTTATTTATTTGTGATTTTCTAAATGCAAATTTAAAAAAAAAAGAGTAAGGAATTAGTGCTTAAAAGAAACGATAAATTACTATAAAAACAATGATCAGCAGAACAAGAATACAGTTTATTACAATTTCCTCAGAAATAGTCAATGCCTTTTTGAAAATAAATATATTTCTGTTTTACATTGATTCATTCTCCAACGTTGTTTTATAAACATTCTAACCGGGAAATATTATGCAAAACTTGGCCGTTCAAACTAACTGCAGTTATAGCGTATTACTGTATTATGAAAAGAGTTCTATATAAAAGGAAAAATTGTCGACCGAACACATAGACCCATGTATATTGTACAATAGGTCGTCATCTTGACATCCCGTAACAACTGAAAATATTTTTGATGCTCCGATCTATTACAAAACGACAATAGAAAACGATAAATGAGCGTGTCTAAGTGATGAGCCTACAGAAGAATTTCCAATAGTCTTCAACTATAGAGCAAATAGATTTTAGGTCAAGACGGTATATTATTACTATAATAAAAATGTATATTGTTTAACTGTGTCAACACTGTAAAACATACATTTCTGGCTGCATTGAAACTTATAAGATTTTGCCCCGTCCGCTCGAATAATAGCTATAATGCAATAATTACCGTGTCTCGTAGATCGTTTAACTTTTAATGATTATAATACTTGACGATTTGCAGGGAAAAGAGGCAGGATATCGGATGTGTTTGAGTTGCACCGTACCATTTCGCAGCCGAACTTCATGATGGACCTACAGAACGACGATGCCAATAAAGTGCACTGGCACGATCAAGGTAGCATGTTCGATCGACCGGGTTTCGGAAGCGTCGCGTTCAGGCAAAAGTAATTTGTTCGCACACGTCATACCTACACATCAAATATATTATAATAAAATATTGTACACGTGTAATAGGTAAACTCGTATACCAATAGTATACTATGGCACTACATAACCGATAAAGCATAATAACCGTGTAATTTTCGTGTGGCGTATTTGATACGAAAAGGAAAAAGAAAATAATATAGGTACCGTTTCAGAGAGTAATTTTAATCAAACGACGCATGTACCATGTCACTTCAGGACTTTTTATAACTTAATATAATTTTTTTTCGAGGGAAAAAATGTACAAAACACAGTCTGTGGAAGCAATCAAGCGTCATATTATATTTCATAATATATACCGCCGTTAACGATTTAATTTGTTCATTACCATAAATCATTCCTCGACTCGAGTAGTTTATGTGAAATTACTCAAAATTCGAGTGTTTTAGTCTTCATAACGAATACATGACCAGTTACACCAATACAACCGTATGGAATATGCTTATATTGCATTTCGATTGCTCACCGCAATATTACGTAATTTACCATATAAATAGTATAATATAATAGTTAGGTATTGAACTTTAAAACAAGTTTTCGTACAAACCAAAATCAAACTTATACTCGAGGTCAGTGGCGCAACCGGGGGGGAGGACACGAATCCGATCCTCCCGCTTTACGCGCGAGTGGTATTTCAATATATTTATACCGAGTAATGAATTCAACTCAGCAATAATATAAATTGTAATAATAATATTTAACAACAATGAAATACAAGAACAAAACAAATGTATGCGTACCAAGACCCCCCCCCCCCCATCATCCCAAAACAGTATGTTGCCGATTTAGGAACATCGTAAATATATAACAATAAATACTATACAAACAATAACATTAGTCGTGCAACGAATATATATTGTAAAAGTGTGTAGGACATAGGTACCAAAACAATTTGTCTAAACAATAATTATTTCGATGGTAATAATAATATGATATTGTATAAAGACTTATAGCCTATATGTGGAGATCTAAGTGCATATCTTACCCGCTCTAAAAAAAAATGTATTCAAGACTAAAAACCCCCATAAATAAAAATAATAATATAGGCCTACATTAATTTTCACACTTATCAAAAAATGTCTTTGAAAATATTGAAAATATAAACATTAAGTAGGTACATAGAAAAAAATTGTTGGAGTCAACATTTACGAAACTTATAACATAGCGATAGACATCTTTAGGTATATATGTGGTGAATCCTTCGGTTAAAGGACATTTGTTTGAATTTAACTGGACTTAGATCTTTAAGTTATAAAATCTTTATATGGAAAAAACTCTAACTGAACTTTAAAGACTTTAATGCCTACTGTTCAAAATTACAATTTGTATAGTTGTTCGTTGTAATACGAGTACATGAACCAGGTATCCGCCTATGGCCTATGGACCAAGTACATACTGTTACAATACATACCTAGGTATATAATAGTATAATTATTAATAGATAACTAATACGTTTTCAGCGTGACCACAATTCCAGTACCAGACGTGTCTAGGGCGACTATTGAAGACGAGGCGTGCAGTATCGGCAGCGCTGGAAGTCTAGTGAAGCGGAACCAGCCGAGCAGCACAATGTCCTGGGACGAATTTCAAAACAGCGACGGTAACACTAAATCCAATATGTCCATCGTCGTTTATATTACCGTGAATAATAATAATTATCGTTACGGGGATAAAATACAGCAAATATATTATTATTGTAGTTCGGGTCACGTGTCGAAAAAATAAAAAATAATAACGTTGCACTGTACGACCCGTTTATAAAAACCGCCGAAGACGTCGGAATCGCGGTACGATTAATATTCGACGAAGTCGTTTTTTTTTTTCTAATAAAACTGAACGGTAATCCCCATCGAATCCCACACACGTTCACGATTTAATTACACTGTTGTCTACTGACTCTAGACATTTAGACGTATATCATCATAATATGTACAAATGGATATACATATAGGCCCCGGCAGCGTTATTGTAATATTGTATAATATTATATGCGCAGAAAACAATATAATATAAACATAATTTCGTATGATATTAATATTGTGGACTCTCTAATTGCAATTCACTCGGCAAAAACCTCCACAACCGCCACACGGTGTATTATAATTTGTAATTAGTTACCTTTCTAAATTGGAAAAATAACATACAACTTTTCGATGATACCCGAGATAAAATCATTTTTATATGTTGTTACATCATCACGCGAATAACGAAGACCGTAATGCCTATTTATTAATGGGATTTATTTTGCATTATTTTGTGATTTAATTCAAAATTCAAAAACAAAGTACTAAAAATTAAGTCCTAGTATACTTTTTTATGTTAAATTCTATATATGTGTCTTTTTAATTTACCATTACGGCATTACGTAATTTAAAAATGGGGGAGGGGAGAAGTAAGTACTTAAACCACTCTGCTGGTACAGTAGAAGTCGAGTGTACCATGTCATTGAGTAGGTCACTGGATATTGTGTTAAATTTGAATTCAGTTATAAATAATTGTGTACGAAAAACGATTCTGAGCGAAACACTCTGTCCACCTATATTACCTACTAAGTATACATTTGTATACAAACGTCATATTTCCATTAATTACTATAGTAATTTATTTGACCATTCTAAATATGATACAACTTATAAATGGGAAATAGTATATAACTAATCTAAATGTTTTGAAAATTTCTATATGTATACAAAAAAAATAATACTTGTTTTGTAAAAACTTCAACAAAAAATAATTTTTAATTGTAAAAAAGGTAACTAAAATCGTTATTTTTCTTTGAAATGCCTATTTCGTCTAAATTTTTAATTACAAATGTCTATAAAATAGTTTTCTTTACACATTTTCTAAGTTCCAATATAAATTATTTATGAGGATCCTTGTGTTCAATTTTCAAGATTTTTAACCGAACAACACATTTTTGTCCAGAACGGTTTTTAAAAGTTAAACGAAGAGTTACATATGTTATGTTACTGATTAATATACACATAATAGAATTATTATAAAATTGGTTATTAGAATGTTTATGATAAGAGGGAATAATTTGACTTATTTAAAAATTATTAATCTATTGAATTTCATCGAATGACAATAAGTAATGGTACTTTTAAGCTTTCGCGTAATACACATATATATATATATATCTGAACACAAAATATAAGTAATAATCCTTCCCGGAAATATAAGACTTTTCTATACGTCGAAGCGACTTTGGCGGTAATGGTAGTGCGCAGTAATGGGTGCAAAGATTGTCCGCGAAACTTCCGCCGACAGCACAGTCGAAGTTCTTCAATCGTAATTCTTGGGTTTTAGAGGAAAACATCGCGTTGAACGGGCGCAGTACAAAGTGGTCGGCCGTGCACAAGTTCCTGGTGTCGGCGGGCGTCGGCGAGTACGTCAACAAGTTCGTCGAGCAGCGGGTGGACCTGGAAGCGCTGTTCATGCTCGACGACAGAGACCTGATATCGCTCGGTCTGCCACTGGGCCCCAGGAAGAAGCTGCTCGGCGCCATCGAAGAGCGGACGAGGAGACGCTGTGCTCGCGAAAATATTGGCGACTGCCCGGACGCGATGGCTCCTGCAAAATCGCTGAACGAGTGTTAGTTGATAATTTTATAAAAAAAATAACACATAATTATGTATCGCGGGTATTCGTTGTGGGGAGGTGTGCAGTATTAAGCGAGGCTGCGATTTTAAAGCATTTACAGTATGATGTGCATTTCAAAAATGACAACTGCAGACTCGTCTTTAAACTAAATAATATAAAAAAATATTTTAAATATTCATGTGTATTCATCAAGCATACGCATAATAATCATGTATGTATAAATTAATATCGAAGAATACGATCAAAAGCATTTCAAATATTTTTTTATCTGAATTCATAATAATTTATTATTAGGTACTGACAAGTCGTATTGACAATAATCTTAAAATAGATCATCTTTGGAAGTAAAGTTACATAGTGCTATACATTTTTACTTCGGCATCGAAAATCACAATACAATTTTTTTAAATATTGACCGATCACGTTTGATAGATTTTTGAAAAAAATAAAATAAATTATGTGTGGTATATTAATATTGTATAAAAGTATTATAATAGGTATTTTTTTATTAAGAGTATAAGATTATTATGTTGGTACTCACTTACATACGCTAGCAGTAATATATTAAATAAATTTCAATCAAACTCAATTTCTTCTACAAAATAAAACATTCAAATGCATTAAAATTCACAGCACTGGACCGTATATTTTTTTTTAGCGGCAACTATGCACACAACTTCTTCACCGGACTGCATGCTAAAGGTGGAACTGAAATTCAATTTCGTCCTTATACTGTATATGGACTATGGACGACCGTTACTCGTGAGCTTTTCTAGTACGACTTTGTTTCCTTTAATCGACGTAAATACGCAAATACGTAAATAAATATGAACATTTTAAGCTAAATCTTGAACTAAAATACAAAATATAATATAGCACTCCGTGACTTTTGATCGAACACCCGCGATAGGTAAGGTAGTTAGTTATAAACTATTAACGACATATATAATAATAATATGTATAATATCATGTATAAGGTATACTAATATTTTTATAATAACTAAGTATTAAGTCGGTACGCGTTTGCGTTTGTGCATTATTTCTTGAACTATTGTTTTGCTCTGCTTTTGGTTTGGACTTGTACCTAATATTATTATGTTAATTTGTGATTCGTGTTGTACTTGTTTTCTAAATGATAATTATAACGTACATCTCTACTTTTACTATATTAATATTTTATGAGACTCGTGTATTATAATATAACTATATAAGTTATAACCGTACAATATGTAAACTGGCAATGGTAATATTAATTATTAAATAAAACTATGCTTGTGATTACGTAAACTTACCAAAATAATTAAGTATTAGCATTTGTCATTAGCTGTATACTCTATAGGCACTTCGAATGACACTCTCGTTTAGATTCGACGAATAAGTAAAACATATTTTAAGTTGTATTATAAGTATTTATTATATATTTAAATAAATCTGTTTGTGGCTAATAAACCCATGTATATGATTTATCTGGATTTAAACTATATCTACGTGTATTGTAAATTATTATACAACCATTATCGATTATCCACAATAGTTAGCTTATAGCATTACATTATATAATATACGACACAAAATGAGAGAAATTATACAAATAATAATAAGTTATCCAATATTATTATTACTATTTTTTTTTTTTTTATTGAACTTAAGCATCGGCTTTATGGCCATTAGCATTTTTTTCGAGGATTTGTCACTAAAACCAGGGTGGTCACCCATCCTTGAGCTAGTGGTGCCGGGCGATGCTCGACCACAGCACACGTTAGTGACTGCAACCAACCACAGGGCCACATGTCCCTATGATTAATGATATTATTGTTACATTCCAAAGGCATTATGTTAGCACGGCGTTCCAGGTAGGTAATTTAGTTACAACAGCGCAATGGGTGCGTTTTTTGTTTTAATATTATACACTAACAAAGTAAAATGACGCTAACGCCTATTTGATTTTTTCATTAAGACTGAAGAAAACTGAATTGTTATTTAAATTGTCAATACCTGTGTTAAAAGACGTTTGGCTTAAATTTATAAAATAAAAACACAATTTTTTCCTTTAAATCAATTTTCCTCATTGCGTCAACTATAAGTGCTAGGAAATACCTATTTTAAAGTGTGTTAAAAAAATTAATAAAAATCAAGGTTAGCTTTGCTTTAAAAAGTACAAAAATTTATGTCTTATTTAAAAAGTTTAATTGGTCGCTGGTACTCAACTTTCCACCCCTGATTTCTATCATCATAGGCGTATCTATAATGTGAAGAATTTATTTGGGGGGGGGGGGGGTTATAGCTTTTGTTTTCTTTGTGGTATAGATGACGCTGCTGGAACTTCTTGGGAATTTTAAGGAGGTTAACAGAATTCTGGGGGGTGTAGCCCCCTAAGCCCCCCCCCCATTCTTTGCTTACCTTATAAAACTCCATTGTTCATTTGTTATTAACTTCAGTATCCTATAACTACCCATAACTGCAGTTCACTCGTCAATATCATAATTTTAGGTTACCTGACAGTCTTTATTTTATTTTATTTCATTGAATGTAAACGAAAAACGCTAGACGAATTTTTGACAAATGACATAATATGTAAAAATAGTATACCTAGTAAAATAAGTTATGAGATGCATTTATACAACAGTTTATGTCGTTCTATAGGGTTTCTGATTGGGAAAATACTTTATCACTTTACAGAATTCGCGATTCTACAACAGTTGCTTTAATAAATAATGTTGTACTGTTGTACACCTACAAGCACTTTAATTAAATTTGTCACCATTTTACTACCCCCATCCTTCCAATTTTCTACCTGACTTTCTAATAATTTATTAATCAATATTTCTAAAAAAGCGAGAGACTTAAACTTTTAACCAATCTAAACTACTCAATTTTTTTGCCTTAGTTCTGCGAGAGTTGATTAAAACCTAAATATTATTTCGACTTCAAAAACTGAACCTTCACTATATTGCATCTAGACTCCAAGAACCGATTTCAGTTTCATTTCATCTCTCTTAAACGGATTAACGGATGTAATCTATCCAATATTAATACATTCAGTACCTAGAAGTTAAATAAATCAGTAGATATTTATACAATGTATACGTATAGGTATGTATGCAAATCATATCCAATACAGGGATATTCCTACCATTTGTATAGCACACATTTCTGATTACTTACCTTATTTATTAATTTTGGTACATCTTATGGTTTAGGTTTTTAAATATTATCAAGTAATGGAAAAATGAAGATATGGTGTTTGAATTTAGTTATTTAACATAAAATACACAAACACGATAAATTCATTTACATTTAAATATTTGATTTGCACAAATATAATATTTATAATTATATAAACTATAATCACCTATGAATCTACGAATGTATGATTTTTGTGTAGGTTATTATAACTTAAGAATCCTTAAGTAAGACAAATTTCCACACAAAATCTTGGTTCCTATATTGTACTTAGGTCTTAGACTATAAACATCTTTATGCTTATTACTTCTGTATAATATGACAGGTAAGTATGGAGGAACCCGTGGTCCAATTACTTTACTCCACCAGCACAGTCTCCATAGTTGATCGTTACAGACTCGCGATTCGTGAATGTTAAAATATTTTTGATAGTCCAATATTTCCTAATTTTGATAAATAATTATTGATATTGAAAATTTGTAATATTCCAGTGGCTAGTGGCTATTGCCTACTACCTATACATAATAAACAAGTATGTAAACTTAAAAAAACCATTTATGAAATAGGTAAATGCAGATTACCTAATGCAGGGGTTCTAAAACTTGTATAGACAGTAAACACTGTATCCCTTTTTACTAATACAATTTTTTGGGCCCTCCTTCTAGGTTACTAAAATATATAAAAAATCTTTTCTCTATTTAAATTTAAAGGTTTGTTGACCAGAATCGTACCCACTTAAAAATGTTGAGTACCCTCAAAAGGTACGAATACTACATTTTGAGAACCACTGATTTAATGGTTGGGCTTAATTAAAATATATTCACCGTGATATGCCACTATGCTAGTACTGTTATCAGAAGTTTTAAACATTTTAATTCTAATAAATTGGTGGAAAGGATTATGCCCTTTATTCTGACAATGGTTAATAATATGATATTTTTGACACGATATTGATGTATCAAAATTGATTACCTATTAATATTAAACAATAAGTTTCTGAACTCTTGAACTCAATGAATTCAGAATAAAAGTCCTAAATAATGATATTGCATAAAATATAAAATTACTTAATATTTAATGATTCGATAGTGAGCTAAAATACTCTTAATCGTGATTGAGTAGACCATTATATTAATTTATTGTACTTGAACTTTGAAAATCAAAATATTCTCCAGCCTCCGGTTCGTACTAAAACATAATTGTATAATTAATTACATTAATTTTTTTTTTTAATGCGTTTTCTTGCAGGTTCCCCAAGACATGATATCGATACAGTAATAACAGATTGTTTGGTTTCATTATTTACAAAATGCCTGATAATTAAATATATACCCTACACGCATGTCACATATTATGTATAAATGCATAATTTTACAAACATTAAGACTTATTATGATTCATGGTTAAATGTATTGAATATATTTTCCAAAACACTTGACAAATATATATAATTCCTATTACATATGAAACAGGATAAGATGGCACAGTGGCGTGAGGTCGTGTGAATATAGTATACAAAATAATAGACAGTAGATAAAATAATTATTTAGATAATTTTAAAAGATGACAGTTCTAGATAAGATAATAGATAAATAATTTAAAATTATCTAAATGAAATAAAATATACGAACAAATGTGGCTAAAATAATGCTTAGAACACTGCCGACCGCAGCCATCTTTTATATATGTTTTTAGATTCAAAGTTAGTTAGTCTCTGCTTTAAAAAAATTGACTCCCTTCACCGTGGACAAATCTTGGCTACACCAACAGAGATCTGTATAGTTTAGGTACAGATGTATTCTCTTCTAATACCTCACATTTTTCAGTAATGATATACCTATTGTATAATACTGGTATTCATGAATTATTATTTTATTCTCTTAATAATATAACTGCAATAGTTTTGTTGGTTTTTCCAAACATGTATGTAACCATACAAAAAATTGCCGAGTTCTTCCTATATAAACTGTAAAAACCTAGTATTAAGAATATAATTTAATATTATATGGTGCAGGAACAGTAAATGTAATATTTTATTTGAACAAAAAATAAATCTACAAAGAGTTTTAATTTAAAATGAGACAAAAATTATCATTTTATTGTAATAAACGTATCAGCTTGGAACAATATTTAAATTTGAGTTACATATAATTTGTAATTAGGACGTAACAATCACTTGTACAACGAATAATCTAATAAACTTATACAATTTATGAACTAGATCTAAAATTGTTAAGAATTAGGTGTTTAGGTGTTATGATTACATACATATTAGTAATAAAAAAATAAACAATAAAATGCTAATGAATTTACATTTGTGGATAATTTGTCAACTATAGTTAGTAATAAACTCAAACTATTTATTTTTGGACATTTATGTATAAATAGAAAATATACCAATAGGTAGAATAACAGTGAATAAAACACTCCTTCCATTATATGTATAATATAAACCACATTAAATAGGTAAGTACTGACAAAAATCAATATAATATAGATGAACCATGATTTCAAATATTTTGGCCAACTTATGAAAACCGATTTGATCACAATAATTCAATTTGTCCGTTTTTAATTTGATATCCTATTTTGTTTTTCATTCTTGAAGAAAATTCTAGAAATATAGACAAAAAAGTTATGCATCCAAAACTGAATTAGTGCATTATTGAATCATACTGAAACAAAATAAATCGAAGACACAATTTTTCTTTTTAATTTATAATTATCCATTATTTAATGTATAAAAAACTGATAAAATATCATCCATTTTGGACACCCCTTCTCTGACTATGACAATGTTTTATTGCCACTTACATCCCCCCTTCTCTCCAACAAATTGCATTTATAATACATAACTACACAACATATTAATAATGTCAATGCTATTTGGTTGAGAGGCGTTAAAAAATAAATCAATGATTCAAAGTCAATAAAAAAAATAAATAAATGCAATAGTATTCATATTGGTTGTTTTCAAGCTTAAATAACAGTATTTAAATACACTATTAGCGAAATCCATCTAATATAAGACTACTGATTCCAGTAATTATTTTTGTTAATATATAATATTATGTTTATAATTTTTTTTTTTTTTAAATAGCAATACTGAATCTCAAATGTTAAAGTGCCTAAAGCAAAACATTAAGGAAAAATAAATATACATCTAAATAATACATTGGTTTATATAATAAATTTAGTATCTATCAAAGTTAATTTAAATAATAAAAAATACAGATATTACTTAGACAATAATAATTTATGGTCTAAACTAAAATTATTTACATTTTATTGACTATCAGAGCGGGTATAAGGGACGGGGTAAATATTTGAAATGTAAACTAAAATGATTGAACCTTTACAAATCACTCACTAAAAGTAGAAAAAAACATTTAACACACAAATACAACAATATAACAACACATAAAAAATAAAAGTAGTAAACACATAATACGAGCAAAATGTAGTTATTATACGGTTATACATTTAAGGTAAAAGGTACCATAGCTGAATAATTGTAGGAGTAAGATTAAATATAGTAGCCAAATAATAGCTTTAATATGCTTTGAAATGGCACAAAAAAAATTGATCACCTCACAAAGGTGTAAACATTATTTAGTATAAAAATTTAAAGGCACTTGTTACACATTAATTAATTAATGAGTATTTTTTCAAGGTTCAATATAATCACACTAAAAATAAAATTTAATATGAACCTATTAAATTCGTAACGATTTCTCAATCAGTCAAATTCATGTTATTATCAGCACAGATAATTGTTGATAATGTTATCTAAACTTGACGTTCACGGAGCGTAAAAAAAATAAATATTCAAAAACTTAAGGGCGGTATTTAGTTTATAAAATAATTTTGTCATAAGAGCTAGTCGTTGCAGCGCGTTTCGTGGATGTCGGGCAAAAACCGACTTCAAATCTCATTTGTATATACATACAAAGACATATAAACATAAAATAGAATCACAAACATCCAAAAACAGTACTTCAGGATTCTAGGTCTTGTCGCGATCTCCTTGCGCTTACGACAGTGCGGCACTCACAAAGGTCTGGTGAAATTGGCAGGGAACATTTTCTTCTCTCCTGTGTTGTCTTTAATACCAATCAACCAGCCTTCCTCCTGCATGTTCAAAAAGGAAAAACATAGGTTGTCATTCACCTGTCTCTTACACAATAAATATTCCAAAACTGGGGCTATCGATAATCAAAAGGTTAATTTTTTTGATAGTTTTCATTTTCAACTCCATTGAATAGTACTGTAAATAATTTTATCTTGAGACATTAAAAATGAAAAAACAAAATAGTTATCCAATGAGTAAGAAACATTTTGGAATATCACTATAATACAAATGTAATCAATGTTATCTAAATTAGTTGGTCTAGCTAAATGTATTATTATTTTTGTTATTCATCTCAACTAACTTCTGACTTAACAAGTAAAAATAAATTGACTTGCCCAGCTTTGGAAAATAGTAATATAATAATACATATAAGTACAATTCCAACGGGGAAAATTACTCACCTGAGTTTCTGGATCGTCGTAGGGTACTACGCTGATGATCTCGCCCTTTTCGAACGACAGCTCGTCCGTGTCTTCAGCGTCGTACTTGTAAGTTGCCACCACTCTGTACAGCACTCCCGGAGGCAAGTTGTCCGTAGTAGCGCCTGCAGAAAACGGCAAATGATAACAATACAAAACTATACAGTCTTCGCGTGGATCACAGGATCGGAGGATAAAAAACAGTTTAAGAACGTATGTAATACGCCACGCAGTTTATGGTTATGATATTATCGATTAATCAAGCGGTTATGAACAAATTTAGCGAAAACGTCGAGAGTCAAGTCGTATTATAGGACATAGATAAAATATTATTTAAAGCCACTCTGCGGTACCTGGCGGTATGTCGATTTCGATGTTTTTGTTGGTGCCGTTCTCGTGCCTGACCGGGGCGACGCCGTTTACCGGTGATGAGCCGCTCTTGCCGTTTACCAAAGGCTGCTGTTGTTGCAGCGGCGGCGGTGGCGATGAAGACGCTGATTCGTCTTCTACCGGTGTTTTCGATGCCACTGACGACACTTCATTGATGATGCTGTCGGGCTGCGATGACGGTGGTTTACTACTACTTACGAATGCCGCGTTTTGAGGGGATGCGGGTGACGAGGGCGGGGATTTCGCAACGTCTTCTTCTACATTACACACACGGTTTAGTTTTCACACGAAAATCATTAGTTAGACAAACGATAAACGACATAATGTATAATTATAGTCTTTTTTTTAAACATCATAGGCGCAAATTGTCTAGAATTATTAAAAGGGGTGCTTTTAGCACCGAACAAAACACGCAGGGTACTGCCTCGGCCGGATTTGAAATGATCATTAATTAAAAACTATAATACTTGTGTATAAGTATTTGTTTCGATATTATATCGAAATTTGTTTTCACAAAAATATTCTACAATTTCTACTTTGGACTATGCAATTAAAAATTTAGACTGCGATTAAAAATCAAGATCTGAGAACAAATAATGATGAAAAAGTAAAGACAATATGAAATTTTAGAGTATGATATGTATTAATTGATTTATAATATATAAATAAATGATTTATAATATACATATTTTAACAAAGACAGTGTTTGTAAAAGTTAGAAACAACACTGTTAAAAGAAATATTAAGTGGATAGTAATATATTATTAATTTTTTTAATATATATATTGAAGTTAACTAAAAACAAATGTAAACAAATTATTCGAAACAGTTTTATTATAGGGTATATGCTATTACAAGATTCGTGTAGTTATAGTTCTTAGTCCATTGTACTCATTGTAGAGTAATAATAGTTAAGCAAACTATAGTAGTCAACTTAAAATTTAAGAAAAAACACTAAATTTGCGCCTATGGGTATTATTATTAAAATTAATTCAATAACGCAATATATCTACAACATAGTATTATAAACTGTATACGAAAGCTAAAAACGAGAATATAATTTTTAGATAGTAGGTAATGGGTATGATAATTACCGTTCATGGATATCGGAGACACCGGCGACTGTGATCTACGCGAAATGAAACAAACAATTAGTGCCGTGTTATTACATAGGAACTATTTCATTTTTTGCATAAACGAATTGAACAGTATACACATTACATACAGCTAGGTGCTGTAATTCAGTGGCGTATTTGGCGCAGTGGGGGTCACGTGTTACTCAGACTCCCCGTGCGGTACAGCACACGTATACAATTATATATTTAAAATACATGTATACTTACGCAGATTGAATATTGTTGGCGACGTTGTTTGAAGGCGTTTTGTTTCCCAAGAAGTAGTTCAGCATCTTGGACTGGTGTTGATAATCCGTGGCCAATTTGTCGACGATCGATTCCATTTCGGAGAACACCTGACGAAACGCACGAATCGAAAATTATATTTTATTGCAAATGAATGAGTACGGAGTTATAAAATAAAATTAATTTAAGAAATTAATTATAATGCAATAATCACGTTTAAGATTTAGATATATACGTTTCATATACATACAGTCATGTCCATAATATTGTACATCCGTATTGGATGTAGTAAAATGAGAACAATAATAAATAAAATAAATATGTTTTTGAAGCACAAAGCGGACGTACCTTAGACGATTCGTGGTGAAATAATTGTTCGGCAGCGAAGTATGGTTGCAGGTTTGTGATCAAAAACAGCACCCTAGAATTGTACAAAGCAGGCAATTCGTCGTGCAGCTCTGTGTTGATGAGGTCGAACTTTCGCTTGACTTCATCAAACTGTTCTTTGGCTTTCATCATTTTCGCTTCGTCTTTTTTCTTGCCGGCTCCGCCCGCAACGCCGTTGTTGTTGGCCAATTGGTTACTATGCCTCTGGCTGTCGTAGTCGACTAGTTTTCGGTTTCGTTTGTCGATTTTTTTCTAATAGACCAGAAACACTCGTGTAATGATAAAACATGCGAGATATATGAATGACTATACTAATTGGGTCCCTGCGGGTTTACACAGGTTACTATGTATATAGTTGGATCCCGAGTTAATTATGATAACTAGTACACTAGTTCGGGCCACATAAGAATTCGCGTGGGTACAATATATATTTGTTTACAAGTGAAATCTTTAACATAAATATTTTTACCAAAATATTTGCTTTTCACTATATTTTAAAAATTATTACTTTACAGTGACTATTTCAATGTCTAGTCGAAAGTATAAATTAATAGGCGAAACAAAACATTTAAAAATAACCGCTGTTTTATAAGGCTATCTACAGATCTAGATCACAGTTGTGTGTCAAAAATTGGATGAGAAATGTTTTGAATTTTCTAAAAAAAATTGGATTAAATTAGTGTACTCGGGCGCAGCTATATGAGAAGTGTATGAGGTATATAATACCCCGTTATTACACAGGGAAATCTTTTATCACACAGTGTTAAAACGAGTATTATTATCAGTGATTACTAATTGCTTACCCGTGTTTCGGCGAACTGGGCTTGGTACGTGTTCAACGGTATGAGCACTTGATCGGCCAACTTGTGAGTGTAATCGCTCCACAGCATGTCCAAATTGTTCGAATCAGTACACATGTGATCGTGTCCAACCCATTGGGTTTCGTACATCTCGTTCAACGTGTCCATCAGACTTTTACTCGCCACTTGCACGGCTAAATCATAATTCAAAACACGCTATCATTAATATCTATCTATTGTTGTCTATTGATCTGATATATACACATAAAAACTAATAACAATGAGTGGGCACAGGTAGACAGAATATATTAAGGTCATCGATTGGTCGAGCCTCCGATGAAGCCAAAGAACCACTACAAAATGTATATGAGTACTAATTATGTTTATAATTGTGCCAACATACCTCTGACACATCGAATATAGTTGTTGAATTCTTTTTGTAATTTATTTGCCGAATTTTGCTGTTTTGAAAAATTTTGTAAGTGCTCGTTAAAAATTTCATCTTCAGTCCGATCGACTTTCCCCAAGTTTTGAAGAAACTATAAAAACATAAAAACTATAGATTAATACTATATACAGAGTATTTATATTAAAAATAGATTCAAACAATACATCAATTTTCACTAATATAGTAATAACCAGGGCTGTGAATTGTGTGCATTTATGGCGTGTGTTTTCAAATAAAAAATAAAGTTCAGCCACAAAATATATCACTATTTACTAAATAGGTAGGATGGCTGGTTATGTATTGTATAACATTATACATACATTTTTTTGAAATCAAGGCAAGTTTTTTTTTAATTTTTGCTGTCAGTTATAATGCTTATCGATAGTTAAAAATTCCAATAGAAAATATTAATAGTTGCTTTTGAAGTTAGAATGTTATCTTTTAATAGATAACAAAAGGTAACTATAAAAATATAGAATATTGACGGTATGTATACTATGAATAATACAGTTTTAAAAACAATAATAATTAATCTAATTGAATGAAGTTGTATTGAAATATTTTGTAATAGTTAGTATTAATATATTTTTTATTTTCGTTCAAAATTAATTCATTTAATATACTTCTACATTTTTAGAAATGTAGGAGTATATTTTTGTATACTTCACTATTTTTTTTATGCATTCATAAGAGTAGCGAGTAGCGACAATAAATCAGATAATAGACTGCAGTTCAAATATAAACAATGTTAACACTGATCGACAGAAGGGAAAAATTAAATTTTAAATGTATCAATAAAACTTTTTTTAAATATTTACTGTCTGATTTCAAAATGATTAATTTACAAATCCAATACAAACGCAATATGTTAACACAAAGACATGTAGTATAGGTACTAGTATTTACATAATTTATACTTGAATGTGTATACGGTATATTAGTGTTTATTTAAATTTAACTATATAAAATTAGATTTCGTGTTTTTATTGAGTGTTTAATTATTTTATTGTACAGCCAAACACTTAAGTGCTCAAAAACGAAAAGTATTAAACCAAAAAATAATAATTATATATTAGACATATTAATTGAAAAAACTAATTCAAGTATTCAAACAAAATAATCAATATTACAGCTATAAATATGTTGTAGTGTATATTGTAGAGATACAATTCGTTTTTAATTGGATAAAGTATTAGAACGATTATACGAAATGTATAATTGCCTCTATATATTATCAACATGTTCAGTAGTCTAATGAGTTACAGTAACGAAACGAATGGTACAAAATAATAACATAGAGTTACATAAATATAATTAATCCTATACCTCAAATAATAGGTGTTTTTAAAATCGAATAATATTTGTAAGTTTTTTAGTCTAACGAGATAAAAATAAGAAAAGTGAATGCTCGGTAGTTAAGTTAAAAATTGATTCAATTCGTACACATATTATACTTTAAAGCAATAAAAGTCACACAGTAATACATAAATTCGTTTGACCACCAGCGATTTGAATATTTACTACCTACTTAATGACAGCACGTTTAAACAACGATTGAGGAGTAAAGTGTATACCATTAAAATATTAGTATTTTTTTTATACCTACTATATAATATATATACACACTTAGCGGTACTTATGTAAGTATATTAAAAGAGTGTGTAGAATTTATGGAAACCCTATATTTACATTGCATGGGGATCTTTCTTCAGGGACGTTATTTTAGTTTTTTGGGGGGTGTTTAAGTAACTCTAGTATTTCACTAGCGCAAATACAAAACATAATACTCTCTTTTCTTAAAATAAGCAATAACGGTCATTCGTTTCATTAGTATTTAAAAATTTATATTTTGTGATTTTTTTATTGAAAATTTAGAGGATTAAAATAAATAATATTGTACCTACACTATTCCCGCATACTAAGTATACTTTATAAACATCACACATCCGGCACACCAGTTAAGAAAAGTGAAACGCCCCTGAGATCACATTACATTATGATAATACATACAGCGATTATATTTTGGTAGCGATAACTGATAAATGATAACACTATAATAACAGCATAACAGTATAGAATTATAGTTTAATTAAATTAATCGTAGCACGTTAAAATAATAAGCATCATACATGCAACCGCTACAAACACACAGTAGTGTTTTCAAACTTTCTAGATACACGCTATATACCTATATAATATACAATAATTAATATTATTTAGTTTGTATGAACTCAGCTTCAGCGCAATGCATCGATAAATATACAGAAACACCTAGATGGTAGACAAAAATTAAAATATACCTAATAGCCATATAACCTAACCACGTAAACACGAAAGCAAAACCAAGAACATACCCAAAAATTAGATAGAAATGAAACTGTCAGATTTGTTTAAGCTATGCGCTATAGCTATGGGTTAGGCAGTGAATGTGTACATATGTTTTATCTTTGGTTCAATGAAGCGGTAGTTGAAGTCGCAGAAATTCCTTCTCCCGGGGAAAAATTTGTTTGTACCTACCACATTTATACCTCAAACCATATGCATGTGACACTTGAGTGTAATATAACATATAATATTATACACAAAAAATACATTATGTATATAGTATATACAAATACAACTTTATAATGGCTTGTAGTTGGGAAGTTGTCAGCATCTTAGCGGCACCGACATTGTAGGTCTAGTTGCGCAGGGCTCGGTCAATAAACGATTATACAATAAGAATTGTATATGTATCTATATAATGAACACGAACATATCATTGTCGTAAACGAGAAACGAAAAGGCGAGACGAAACGAAAAACCTCGCGGTTTCCGCATGATGCACACCCGCAAACCCGGATTGCGTAATTCGCGTTTGAACAACTCACATGAAAATGATAGGTATAATAAACAACAAGTAACGATATAACACATAAATGAAATACCTAATGAAATATTACTATAGACCACACGCCTCGTTTTGTATTGTAATAATTACTCGCTCATTTTACCCAGAGCCGAACACACTTTGAGACAACTATTTCATGTGTGTTAAATATTTAAAGCACTATAAATATGAATGTGTTATATTATTATAACGAGCGTGTCAGCGATTAAAAAATGTGTGCTTTTTTGTTTTTATTAGCGCAACTGAGTAGTAAGTATAACCATACAGGGTGATTCAGTGTACACTAGTGATTAAACCCTATTTTATCTTTTGATTCTGATATTTTGAATTTTAAAAGGAATTTAAGGAGTGTTCAATAATGGTGATACAATTTTTTTTATGAAAATCTTGATCAGTTGAATAAATAGTTGATCCAAATGAAAATTATTCATCAAATCAATTTTTCTACTTTTTTAATAGACCGAAATCGAAATTTGAACTAATATAATATATACATACAGTTTCTGAGTTATAAATGTATAATGTACAAACCTATACTATAGATATATTAAGACTTAATACGTACAATAGTAAACTTAAAATCTATTAACTATTAAACAAAAATTTCTGCAAAATATAGTTTGGAACGTCAAGACACACAATTACATAACATAATCTAAGTTCACCTTTTTAAAATATGGTCTCAAAGTACTTATTCGAATTCCATAAGCCAGGCTGTGAATTAATGCAAATAAAGATAATAAAGTGCAAAATGGGGATGATCATCTAGAATGCTTGATATCACCCTGTATAATAAATAAGTAAGAATCGCATGCATGATGTATATTATAGGTCGTCTAATATGATATGGGTACTTTCTTGTATTGTACCATACGCAGTACGAGTACACACACACAACTAGTACTAGTATTATTTATACCTAAATAATAATACGTAAAATACCGTACCGACCGACTTTCACTAGCGGCAACGCACGACTACGATGCTTTAAATATTAAGTTTTGTGCCTAAGCGATAAATTATTTTAATATTTGTCCACGCGTCGTGTATGCGGCTCGTATCTCATCCTACCCGTAATATCTGGCACAATTTTTTTTTCGGGCGCCTACGTTCGTTTCTGTTTTTTCAGCCAAACGTGGGTTTTTTTTATACGCATACAGGCGACCGTGCGCGTAGGACTCTCGATTATTATTATACGACGCAGACGTGTCGGATCAACGTTTTGTTTTAAAACGAATTAATAATATTATGTAGGAACGAATTTTCAAAAAACACATACATATAAAATGACATTGTGTAATACCACACCACACCGCCACGCGCTATCGACCGGACCCCAGAGTATAATAATATAATACACGAAGCATGATCGACTGAGGGAACCGACGTGTTCCAGTCCAACGGTCCTGGAGTAAAATAAAACACATGCCTCTAATAAAAATAAAAACCTTATATAGACGGACGACGCGTTAATACGACACGCTGACATAATATTATGTAAATGATTATTATAAATATTATGATTATGAGTCGTGAAGGCGTATTCGTCGGCGTGTTTAAATACCGCCGATAATGCTTCAATGATAATAATAATAATACCAAACGATATTGCGATCTAACCACCGAGAGTGGCAATACTATCGTTTGCCTGGGTATAATAATAATAACAATAATAATGCCGAGGAGACGCAGTGTACCCGCGAACATACTACGCTGGCAATTATTGATTTTAGACGACACTTTATACCTACATTTAAACGTTGTTCACTCGAAACTACTTATATTGTAGGTATAAACACATTTCGAGATATTGTATATAGATGTAAAACGAGCGTCGGGATCATGTTAATATAAACCAACACTTGAAGACGAGGCCGGATATTCGATAATATATATAAGTTACAATGATATTAAATTATTGCAATCCACTCGTTGGTGGAGTTAAGTAAAGTTTTAGAAGGGCTTATATTTTTTTAAATATAAAGCTTACATTTTTAAAAGGCAAACAAATTTGCACCACACTCCCCTACTAATTATTTAAATATGTTTGTTCTCCATTATCAAAAATATTATTATACCTATTATTCAACACATAATCTTAAATAATAATAATCATAATATACATAATATTTCTGAAATTAAAAAAATCAAGACACTTTAAAAATGTTGATTGCTTTGGTATACATAGTGTACTTTTTATT